ATTCTGGATTTTTGCATTGATTTTTATTTTTAAAAATATCACATTAAATCTTTATTTTGATTACGGAGATTTTTGACTCCCTAAGCTGAATTTTGCACTTGCCTTATTCATGTTCTGGCTGCAGGGGCTGCCAGCCAGACCCAGGCCGCAGCAGCCTTCTGTTCTTCCCTCCTGGGCGTTGCTCCCCTCTCCAGCCTTCATCCTGTGTGCTGACCTCTGGGCCTGACCTCTGACCTCCACAGCCCTCTTCTGGGTCAGGGAGGGCTAACTTGCTAGAGCAGGCCAGGCCACCCTGGAGAGGAAGGCTGTTTGCTGAGGTCTCTCAAGCAGCCTGATTAACATGTGGGAAGATGCAAATTGAGGCAATCCTGCTGTTTTAGAAGAACTTAATATGTTTTTTAAAAAGATAGGGTGAAAGGCAGAAATTGCAGGAAATTATATATTGCAGGAGCTGCTTTATCTTCTCTGCAGTTGATTCCAGAGAGGCTTCTGGTTTGGGAACAGCATTTCGTGCGCACAGAGCCCCTCCCTCAGGGCGGAGCTACCGGGATCCCTGCCCCCTAACCCTCCTGGCCCAGGCCCTCTGCCATCTTACTGCCCCTTCCTCAGTCTCTTCCTGGGCTCACACACGTATCGGGGGTTGGCTCATTCACTAGCCTTCATTTAAGGGGGGCAGTTGAAGCCTTGTTCTTATGGCTGTTGGCATAATCCAGAGCCACCTCCAAAAGCACATGCCCCAAACAACTAACCCGGTCCTCGACTCAAGGACTCCCCATGGGGTGCACACCCGTTATGGGGGCAGCTTGCCTTGGTTACAGCCTAGAAATCTCTCTAAAGGTCTGTTTTATCCCTGTGGATTCCACGATAGCACAATACAGATTATTATAATGGGCTTTAGGCGAGCGTTCTGGGCCTGATTTGTGTTGTGGAGGGCAGGTCAGGTTGGGGAGCAAAGTGAGCCCCTGTCGGCGCCGCACAGGTTTGTCGTCACAGGGGACACGGTGCCGTGGGGCTCACTGGGGGATTTTCCGGTTAGCTGAGTTTCAGAGCCAGTCTTTTTCTCTTTTCTTTCTTTCTTTTTTTTTTTTAATTTTAACTAGTTTGCACGGAGGAGGCCTTTCTAAAATGGATTTCACACTCCTCTGACTTCCCAAACTGAGGCTATAGAACATAAACTCATCTTGATGATTTGGGTCTGTTACTTAGAGCCTGTTATTAATCTCTGGAGCTAGGCCGCCCTATTCCAAACCCAGCTTCTCTTCCCAGCCGTGCGTCTTCAGGCAAGGGTGTTCGCCTTTCTGTGCCTCAGTTTCCTCCTCTTTGAAATGAGAATAATAACTACACCTCGTGGGGTTGTTGGGAGGATGAAGTGAACTAATGGATGAAAAATAGTGCCTGTCACGTAAGAGGTAGAACCGTACCACACTGCCACTGTCATAGGTGAGTTAAATATTAAACATGGGCAGTTTCACCTGGGTCAGCCAGTGGAAGATGGCGCTCTTCAAGTGTGGCTCCTGCTCTTACAGATGCTCTGTGCTAGGCCCTGTGGACTGGAACTTAGCATAGGCTCACAGCAGCACCTCTACTCAGTTGATCACAGGAGAACACGAAGACCTAGGCCTTCGTTGCTTGCCCGGGCTGCCCAGCTGGTAGGTGGCAGAGCTGGGTTCCATGCAGGTGGCCTTGGTTCCTTTGTGCTGTTCTCTCTGCCAGCTGCTGTGCTGGGGCTGGGGCCCTCCCAGGGGAGCACCGAGCGGTCCCGGAAGAATCGTCTACTAAGTTCTGCCTTCAGTTTTCTTTAACATTCCTCCTCCCCTTCCTGACCTTGCACGGCCCTGAGGGTTCTCCTAGGAAGCAAAAATAAAAGCTTTTGCCCCTGCATTTTCTGTTACCTGTTTCCATTGTTTCTAAGATATGTGTTTATTTTATAGTGCAGGTTGTCATGTGTGCTTCACCTATGTTCGTTCAAATGCAGGTGTCACACAGGTGACCTTCAGACGTGTGGGGTCACATCTGGAGACACAACGCAGCTGTGTCCTGCGAAGGCTGGAAGAGCCCGAGATTCCCAGACCATCCCCTGAGTGCTAGCCTTCCCCTGATGCCCCCCGGCCCAGCGTGCTCCCCACGGCATTGGCACTGAAGCCTGAACTGCCTGGTTTAAAAGGGTAGTGGCAGACACCCTGTTCAACATGTCACTTTACAGATGAGGAAACTGAGGCTCAGCGAGCTGGAGGGACTCCTGGGACTCCCTAGAACTCAGCACCCTGGTTCCCTGCTGGGACTGCCCCCACCACTCTCCTCAGCAGAGTCCAGTCTTCCTGGTCTTCTGATGCCCCTGCCGAGGGCCTCCGTGGCAGGAGCCAGGACCAGCCACAGAGGCAGGTGACCTGTGCCATCACACAGGGCCCGCCCTTGGTTTGATGCTCTGCTGTCACTGTCGTGAAATTTCTTAATACTTTTTGAACAACGGACCCCACAATTTATATAGCCAGTGCTGGGAGGAGCCCACCAGGTTCTAGGCTTCCTCCTTTCTCTAGGCCGTGGGGTGGAGCTCCCCAGGAGGCGTTAAACATGCTCCCTCCAGCCAGCATGGGATGGGATTGGAACTTCCCCCTGGGCAGAGACAGTGATGGCCAGGGATGGACTTAGAAAGCCTAGAGATCTCTCTGGGAGGGTGAGAGGGAAAGTCCTGAAGTCTGCCTGCCTGGGTTACCCACAGTGTGGCCTTGGGCATTTGGCAACCTCTAAAAGCTTCAGTTTCCTCATCTGTAAAAAGAGGAGAGTAGAGGAGTTACTTTGTACAGTTGTTCTGAGGGCTCGATGAATGATGTATGTAAATAATATGCCAAGAATAGCGTGCCTGCAGTGCTCTGCACTAGTAAGTGCCCAATGAGTCAGCCATTCTCTTATTCCAGGTCTGAGGTCCCGGATTTCTTGGGCATTGGAAGCCCCAGTCAAGCCTCCTCCTCCCTCTCAGGTGGTAATGATGAGGGTCAGGCATGTGCTGGCCCCTGGGTGTCAGTACTGGCCCTCCCCAGAGCCTCCCTTCAGGGGGCACTTTTGCCACAGCCCAGCCCCTCCCTGCCCAGACACGCTAAGAGGCCAAGGAAAGCAGGGAAGTGGCCTCAGGAACTGGAATGTGCTGTCTCTCAGAGAGGTCGAGGGCATGCCCAAGGAGGCAGGACGTGGACATCATGCATGTTGAATTTTTGCTCTGCCTGTTAGCAGCTGGTGATCTTGGGCAGGTTACTTAGCTTCTTGGGCCTCCAGCTTCCTCATTTGTAAAAAGTGACCAAAATTATTTTGAGGGCTGAATATGATAAGGCTGTAAATCACTGAGCTCAGTGACCGGCCCACATAGATAGTATCTGGTAATGTTTGTCGAATGAATGAATGAGTGAGTGAATGGAGGGATGCTCCGTATTTGCTGTTGTCAGATGTCCTTGAAGGAAGGTGTGTGAGGTGGTGGAGGTGGAGGTGGGGCAGGGACAGCTATATGCATTGTCTTGGGGGGAGGGGTGAAGTGTTCAAATAATCACAATCACTTGCAGGCATGTAGCACTTATTGTGCGCCATACACTGTTCCCATATTAACTCATTTCATCCTCACAACAAGCGTATGAGGAAGGCACTGCCAGTAGCTTCATTTTACGGACGAGGAAACTGAGCACAGAGAGGGTGAATAACTTGCCTTAGGTCACACAGCCAGTAAGGGATGGAGTTGAAGCACGCAGCCTGGCTTCAGCAGCCATATTCTTAACCTTTATACTGCACCTGCCCCCCAGTCTTTGACCATAATCTTCAAGCTTGTGGGAGACTGCATCTTCATCTCTGCCACCAGTTTGGCCCTCACTGGGCTGTAGGACACTGCTTTCAAGAGACCCTCTTTTTTACTGAGTGGAGGGGGCAGCATGAAAAAGCTGGGTCGCTCCCCCCAAGCCTTGGCCCTTGAGGGCAGGCCAGGCCCCAGGGACTGGGACAGAGCCCCAAGCTCTGGCTAGCTGACAAGTGATTCGTCAGGATGCAAAGCTGTCAGGCTGAAGAGGCCACGTGGGGACGGGTGGCGAGGAGGATGTAGGGGCATCTCTGCCCAGTGCCCTGTCGGCCACAGCGAGTAAGGGGCTGGGCACCATGTGAGGGGTGGGGGTCCAGCGGTCCTCACCAGGGCCTGAGCCTTCCGCGCTTTCGGTCTGAGTGTTGGGTCAGACGGGGCTATAAACTGGTCAGGGGAGTCAGACCCCTGGGGCTCTGCCTGGGGAACTTGGTGGGGTCCCTCCCTGCTCTGAGCCTCAGGCTCCTCAGCTGGGCCAGGATCCTGGCTGTGTCACCTTATAGAGTTAGTGGGCTGGGCCTCTCGTGAGTTAGTGGGTGTGAAAGTGATGCCAGAACTTGCTTGTCTTCCAGGAGCCACACAAATGTGTGCGGGGTGAGGCAACTGGGCAGAGCGAGGGCTGTGGCATTAGCAGGCCAAGCTCAGAGTGGTTTGGGATTGGTTATTGCAGCTCTTGAAGCCGCTCAGTGAAATAGCAGTGAAATCATGCACGTCATACTGATCGCATGGTGGTGACTGCCTGTCCTCTGCTAAGCACTTTGCACACGTGATCTCATTAGTCTTCCCAACAGCCCTTTGAGGTGTGTTGTGACCCCATGTGACAGAGAGAAACTGAGGCTCCAAGACATTACTTCCCTGGCCCAAGGTCACCCAACTAGAAAGTAGCAGAACCAGTATTCAAACAGGGGCAGCTGGCTCCTGCTTCACCACAGACCACTCTGTTAGACCTGCCGGCAGGGTTGTTTGAAGATGAAGGGAGACCTTTGGAAGTGTCAGCCCAGGGCCTGGCCCTTGGTCCGTGCAGGACGCACACAAGATGCTGCCCTTTCTAACCAGCTGGTGCCTGGAATTCTCGTGTTTCTGGGGCCCTGACGCTGCGTTTCCACAGAGATCGGGGCACCCCCCAGCCTCCTCTGGCCTCACACCTCTGCTCTCTCCCTCTCATCAGGATGTCGCCACGATGCAGTTCTGTGCCAACAAGCTGGACAAGAAAGATTTCTTTGGGAAGTCCGACCCATTCCTGGTGTTCTACAGAAGCAACGAGGATGGAACGTGAGTTCCCTGGCAACGCATCACCCCCTTCCTGGGGTCTGGGGTGGACAGGGTGTGGTGACCTGCCAGCAGGGTGGCTTGTGTCCCCACCTCTTCCCTGTGCTGCCTCGGGGCTCTGATCTAGAGAGGGCAGGGGATCGGGACGGAAGTCAGAGCTCCGGCGCGGTGTCCAGCCCATGTGGGTGGGCCACTGGGGGCTGGGGGCAGCCTCCAAGCCGGCACTGCCACCCTGAGGGTCTCAGCAAAGGTGGGTGTTGGGTGTGTTAGAGGTGAGGGGAATGGGTGAAAATAGGGCTAAGGCAGGAATAGGGGCCCCTCTGATAGCCCCTTCCTTCTTCCTCACGAATCAGTCCATATATCCAAGCCCCATCCTCCTCCACCCATGTTCCCCCAGACACCCCACTGCTGCGTGACCCCCACTACCGCCCCCCCCAGCACAGCAAATCTGCACCCTTTTGCCGCCCCGCCCCACACCTCATCATCGGCTTCATTCAAAACTCCACCCGTCTTTGAAGCCCGTTTCTGCCCCTCTCTAATCTGGAAGCCGCCCACAGTGTGACAGCAACACACACGCGCTGCAGATGTAGGTCAGCAGTGCACTCGGAGGGGCAGACTCTAGGCGGAGGGTCTGGGGGCCTAGGTCTTCCCCACCAGCCCGCTGGGTGGCGCCCCCAGGCGAATCACGCCCCTCCCTGGGCCTGTTTTCTCATCAGTAAGATGAACCAGTTGGATTAGGTGGTCTCCACGGTCTCTTTAAGCTCTGCAGTTCTGGAGGCTGAAGCCACTTATGGCTGGTATTCTGCAGAACCAGGGAGCAATGGGACTAGGGAGGTTAATTAGAAAAACCGCTGCTGGAGGAGGGAACAGGGAAGCAGGGTTTAAAGAAGAAGAAAATGGGTCCACGGGGGAGGCACGGGGAAGAGTCACAGGCGAGAGGAAAGACATGTGCAGAGCGAGTGTGCCCAAGCAGAGGCAGAAAGTCTTCTGCCAAGTTCCCTTTGGTCTGACATTCTGGGTGTGCATGCGTGTGAGCGTGTGTGTGTGTTGGGGGCAGGGAGCCGCAGGGAGGAGGTGTGTTTCAGTTCCAGGAAAAGCAGATTTTTAAGTCTGAATGTACAAAACAAGAGAAATTAGGTATGATCATTTGCATAACAAAAGGGTTCTTTGTCTCACCAAAGGACTCCTGGCAGAATTTCTTTAAATAATTCTTGTTGACTTGATTGAGGGGGGAAGAGGCCTGAGTGGGGGTCTCGGTGCCGGCGGGAGTGTCCCCCCAGGTCCCCCCAGAGACGCAACGCCAGGCCACACTGAGCTGTCTCAGAAGTGGGGGCTGGCTGACCAGGAGGGGAAAGGGATTTCGGTTTGGGGGCAGGAAAGGTGTGTGTGGCAAAAAGTGTTTGCCAATGATTGTTCTAGAAGCGTGATGTGTAGGATGGATGGGGAGGGGGCGGGGAAGAGGGGGAGGCTCATGACTGAGGCTGGGAGCAGGTGGGAGGCGCAGGGGAAGTGCAGGAGAGGGGGAGGGGCAGGACAGGGGCAAAAGGACAGGGCAGAGACCCTTGGGTGGGGCCTGAAGTCACAGCCCCCGCCCGGGGAGTGTCACTGTGGAGAACTAGAGGGTCAAAGATGGCAAAGGAGTTGGCCAGACGTGGGAAGCCATGGGAGTTTACTGGGGGCAAGTTCCACCTGAAGCATGGGCTGGATGTCTCCCCAGGACAGCTGGAGAAACCCACCCAAAGGCCCCCTGAGAGGCTGGCCCGTCTGCGGGCCCCTGCGAAGAGGCAGGTGCCCAGGTCAGAGGCTGGACTGGTGAGAGCAGGGCGGTCACCCAGGGTTTGAGGAGAAGAGAGCGGGAGGTTTGGGAGACACAGCCAGCTAGGAGGATGGGAGGAAGGGCCGTGAGGGAGCCATGGGAGTGGACCACCATGCCCGCTGCACCTCCCAGGAAAGGTGGCGTCCACAGAGCACCCTCTGTGCTGCCGGCACTGTGCCCATCGTGTCTTATTCAGTCCGGTCACTGTCTGGGAGTAAGAATGTGACAGAGGAGAGCAAGCTCCCTTCGCTGCCTGTGGGCCCGGTCTGGCCTGGTGCTGCCAATCACCAACTGTGTCACTTCAGGCAAGTCTCTAATGCAGTGGAACTGTCTGGGATGAAGACAGTGTTCTCCATCTCGCTGTCCAGGACGGTTGCCATTAGGCACATGTAGCTGTTGAACATTTGAAATGGAGTTAGTGTAACTGAGGAACTGAGTTTTAAGTTTCACTTCAGTTTAGTTCATTCAAATGGAAGTAGTCACAGGTAGCTGGTGGCTACATTCGGACGGTGCAGCTATAACCTCCGAAACTCAGTGTGTTGGTGTGTATGCGTGTATGCACGGGGCAACCCTAATACTGCGCTCACAGGCTGCTGTGGGGATTAGTGAGTTAATATATGTAATTAGAACAGACCCCAGCAGCGCCTATGCTTACCCTCATTTTACACTGAGAGGGGAGCTCAGAGAGAGTCGCTTCCCTGGGGCTGCACAGCTGGCAGTAGCAGCCCTGGGCCTGGAGCCTGCGTGTGTCACTGTGAAGTGCGTCCCCTGAGCATGTGTCACCGTGAATTGAGTTGAGTGGTGAGAAGACTGCAGGGACAGCAGAGAGTCGAGGGGCTTGTGGATTTGGTGGGGGAGGGGTAGCTGAAAGAAAGCAGTTCAGGCAAGTCTCTGAAGCAGGAACCAGACCACACAGGGTGCAGGAGAAACAAGTAGGGAAGAAATCAGGCAGGTAGAGAAGACCTGGTCAGGAAGTTCGGCTGGCAGGAGAGAGGAGACAGGGGAGGCAGTGGTCCCAAAGGGGTAGGGAGGCCGGAGGGACCCCCAGATCTGTGTGACTATGGGGGGTGGTTTGGTGCAATTAGGGCTTCTGCACAGAGGGTGAACCTCCCTCCCTGCCTGGCCATTTTGCTCCTTATCCTCCATCCCACCACCCTGCCTTCTCTACCTGCTCCCCACCTGCCCCAGCCACGGGCAGCTGTGGCCCCTCCTTCCTCCGTCCCATTCCTGACATCATCAGCGGCTCTGGGTGTGTGGGGAGGTCTCCCACGTGTATCTCTACACTCCAGTGGGTGGGCGAGAAGGAGCAGAGAAGAGAAATGCTGAGCCTCAGTGACAGAAATGACATTTTGACTTGAAAATTGCCAGAGAAGAAATGGCACAGCCTGTGCGGGAACGGGTGGAGCCCAGGCACCTTCCTGGGTGACCTTTCCAAGCTGGGAGGTGGCTGTGATGGATGCTGGGAAATCTCAGGGGGGCGGCCCCTGCCCCCATGTGGCAGGGCAGGCTTCCAGGAGGGGGCCAGCCAGGCATGGTGTGGGGAATGGGCAGGGGATGCCACCCTGGGGATTAGACAATTCTGCACTTTCAGTTTGCAAAGCAAGCTCAAGGATTTGGAGCTGAAAGGGTCCTAGAGATCATCTCAGGGGCTTTTATTCTCTGGCTTGAAATGCCAGAGAAATCGAAAACTGTACTTGAACAATGGTTAAAAAAAAAGACTTACTATAAACTGACAGTAATTTAAAAAAAAAGATGCCAGAGAAAGCTATGGAAAGTCTCCTCTGAGAAATACGTTTATTCATTAATTCATTCAAAAAAAACTTAATGAACATGTACTATGTGCCAGGCACTGCTTTGGGCACTAGAGATATACCAATGATCAAAGAAGACACAGCCTTTCTTGCCCTTACTGACCTGACCTTTCAGTGACAGACCATAAAATGAATAAGGAGAAAATTAGACTGTCACGTGTCAAATGGTGACAGGTGAAATGGAAAACAGTGTGGAAGGGACCATGGATGTCAGAGTCGGGGGCCGGGGGATTGCACATTTCGGATGTGGCGTTCACAGCAGGTACTCCTGCCTGAGAGGTGACGTTTGAGCAGAGACCTGAAGGAAGTGAGGTGGGTTATGAACGTGGAAATCTCAGGGGACGGGCAGGAAAATAGCAAGCAAGTGAAGCCCAGACACCTAACTTCACTGACAATTTCAGGGGTTCACAGACCCATAAAACCCATCCACAGATCTTTCCATGGATGAAGAACGTTTGGTAGTGGCTGCCTCCTTGGGTTTACAGGTGAGGGGACAGAAGCCCCAAATGGTACAGGCGTGCCCAAGGTCACAGGAGAGCAGGGTCCAGGACCTGCACCCCCTGACAGCACCCCTCCCTGCCCCCTCAAGAATCCTCTCTGTAGCATCACCAGGAAATGGCCATCTGGTTTCTATCTGGATGCTGCTGGAGACAGGCAGCCCTTTAGCTCACAAAACCATGGTTTTTCTGTCTGGTAACTACAGAGACTGACCAGCTGGCCCCTCAGTTGACCTGGATCCTATCATGCCTTCCTTGGGTTGGGGCCTGACACCATCCTTCTCTTTGCCAGGTTCACCATCTGCCACAAGACCGAGGTCATGAAGAACACCCTAAATCCAGTCTGGCAAACTTTCTCCATTCCTGTGAGAGCCCTCTGCAATGGAGACTATGATCGGTGAGCTGAGAAAATGCCCCTCAGCGTGCACAGGCGCGGGGGGCCTGGTTCACGTTGGTGTGGGCAGTCCCCTCAATATGAGCAGAGACTCCTGGAGCTGGGCCCAGGTGGCCCTGCATGGGGTGGGCCTTATGAGCCTCCTTGCCCTGTCCTCTCCTCCCTGGGCAGTCTGCCTCCATCTCCTTCAGCCCTCCCCCTTCACTCCCCCGAGTCAGGCATCCCCATTGGTGGGAACCTCCCAGGCTGGGGTGTTGGGGTGTTCTGGCCTGGAGCTCAGCAGCCTGTCTTTTCCTTGTTCCTACTGGAGGTGCAGGTGGAGGCCCAATGGGCTGTAAATGTGCAGGGGCGGCCTGGTCCACACAGTCCCAGCTCTTGGCAGGTGGATTCTGGGGAGTCAGGATTCCAAGATCCTCTCTGCCAGCCAAGTTGCCATAAATGGGGGCGAGGGGTGGGACGTAGAGCTCATGGAACTTTTTGGTGCTGCACAGCCTGCTGCTATGACATTTTAGCTATCATCATCATCATCATCATCATCATCGCCACCGCATGGATGCAGGTTGTCAAGTGTGGGTACACCTGGTTTCTAACTGGCTCTGCGACTGAAAAGTGCCATCAAGTTAGACAAACTTTGGCCTGTCCATGCCTCAGTTTCCTTGTCTGGACAATGTGTATTTAAATATCTCCCTACCTTGTAGGGCTGCTTCAAAGTGCTCGTGGCATGACACACACAGAGAGGCTTAGGTGTGCATAAAGCACCAAATTCACATGCCGTCCACAAGTGTTCACCGACTCCCCACCTTGTGCCGTGCCCTGTGCCAGAGGCTGGGAAGTCAGCAAGGAACTGAATACAGTCTTCACCCTTCACCCAGCCTCATGGCGTTTACCTCTAGTGGGGGAGGCAGACACTAATCCAATAATCACACAAAGCAGCATGTGATTACAAACCATGCTGAGTGGCAGGGGAGCTGTAAGGTGGTGTTGGTCTGTATTAAGTCGTGAGAACCCAGCCTGGTTTCCCAGTGACAGCTGCAGCTGGTGGATGGTGGCAGGGGTTCAGGGCTAGGGCTGCCTGGCAGCCTTCAGGAAGCGGGGCCTCTGCTGGCCGCTTGGACAGGAGCACTGGGGCGTCCCGGCTGGAGGCATCACAATGGGCTCGCTGGGCCCCTGCTCACAGTGGCTACTGACAGGCTCTGTGTGGTGAGGCGACAGGGGCCTCCAGGAACCCAGTATCCTTATGATCCAGAAGATGAGGTAGCACCTTTTCCTGCCTCTTGGTTGGGACAGAAAAGCCACAGTCTATTCCACAGGTGGTCACAGGGCACCTACTGTATGCTCGTCATGCCTCCATCTGCACAGCTTTCAAGGGAATGCAGCCTCATTTCCGTCTTCAGGGAGCTTATGTCTGATCGCAGGGAGCTCAGATGTGCACACGGTATTTCAGACAGCGAAGCAATTGTGCAAAATGAGACTAGCGACAAAAGTAGGCATTCTAGCAAACAAACCCCAGTCCGGGTCCTGGAGCTTCTGGAGTGGAGGGCATGGGAGGACAGAGCGCTTGGAGCACTGAGTCGACAGGAGGCCCAGGGAAGGCTGCAAGGCCGTGGGGGCAGGGGGTCAGTTCCTGAGGACAAGGATGTGGGAAGAATGGTTGGGGTGGAGAGAGATGGAGGAGAAGGGAGGGAAAATTCAAGCTTGCAGAATGGGAAAGCATGGCAATTCAAGTCTCATGGGGTGGAAGGAACTGGGATCTTCAGCCCCACTACCCAGAGGTTTTGAGGGGTCCAGCTGAACCCCCACTACTCTGCTTCCCTAGGGAGAGGCTCCCAGGGTCTCAGGACCCTGCTCATCAGAAGGGCGAGAAGGGCAGCCAGGCTCGGAGGCCAGGGCTCATTGTGCAGCCGTTGGAGGAGGAGAGGGTATGTGGGGCGGGGACAGGTCCCGGGGAATCCCGGCAGGCTGCTGTCTCCCCCTGCCAGGCTGAGCCCAGACTGCTCTCCCTCCAGGATGGCTGAGCAGCTCGGGCCTTCTCCAACGTGGGGACAGACTGACCATGATATGACTGACAGCAGTACTAATGGAGGGGCCAGGAATGTCACACTGGCTTGGTGACAGTGGGCAGGCCTGCCTCATGCTGAGTCCTAGGGTAACCTGAGTGCCCAACAGCCACTTGGGAGGTGCAGGCGTCTGGGAGGCCCTCTCAGGGCAGTGAGGGGGCAGCGAGGCTTGTGCAGGAAAATGAGGGAGGCATCTCTTTAAAGCCTCACAGAACATTGGGTTGAATCCAGCAGCCGTGTCTCCCAGGCCAGTCAGGCACAGAGCGCCAGGCTGGGTGCTGTGGGTGCACTGAGCTGTCAGGCCCAAGCCGCCCTCTTAGGCTACTTCCAGGCCACAGTGGGAAACAGACAGGTAATAATAATAATAATAATGGCAGGGGCTCCTGTGCACTGACATGGTAATTTGTGTACATGAACTGATTTGGTCCTCCTACCAGTTAGTAGCCCTGAAAAAGACACTAACACTACCTTCACTGTACACGTAAGGAAGCTGAGGCTGGCTCTAGAATCCGTGTTCTCAACCCTAGTGCTGTGCTGCCGACTGGCCAAGACAGGGTGCGAGTGGGTGTGTCTGGAAGCGGCTCTGTGAGACCCTTGCTCGGGGCGCAGAGCGCAGGGCAGGTCTGCTCCGGGCCTGGAGTGGAACCGAGATGCAGCAGGACTCGCCATCTGCCGGGAGACGGACTGAAAGGGACGGAGGGGTCATTAGGGTTTGGAGACTGGGAACAGGAGAAGGTGATATATCACTGACAGAAATGGGGAGGATGACAGGGAGCCAGAGCTGGTGGCTGTGGGGCAGGCAGCAGTGCCGGGCTAGGGAGAGAGGACAGAGGTCTGGGAGACCCCCGGGGGGCTGGCCGAGGTCAGGCGCTCAAGGCCCTTGGGGGTGGGGGGTGTGCCCCAGGTCAGAGCAGGAGAAAGAAGGGACCAAGAGGTGAGGCTGTGGTCAGGGAGCTGAGAGAGGGGGATTCACACGGAAGGGTCAACCACTCCTGCGAGAGAAGCCCAGGAGCGGGAGAACCAAGGATCATCTGCTGAGAAGGGGCTGGTTTCTTGGAGCATTGCGGGTGGGAACCAGTTAATATTAATAAGATTACTGAGTCTTTAGGATACGGGGCAAATTGTGTCCTAATTGGCTTCAATACATTATGTGTACATTAAATTTCCCAGTGACCCTAGAGGGTGAATGCTGGCGACATGCCCACCTTGCAGGCGGGGAAGGGGAGGCCCGTGGGTGAAGTGACTTGCTAGGGCGAGGGGAAAGTACTTTTCTCCTCTCCAGAAGCTACCTCTGGGCTGGCCCTGTGCTTTGGGGATCCCCCTGTGTCTCCAGTCCACATGGGGCCAACTCAAGCGACCCAGCTGAGCAGAGCTGGCATCAGAGGAAATGGCATCAGGGTCAGAGCCAGTCCGGCCCTTCAGTGGGGTGAAGAGGGCTAATGACCAGACGACCTTCCCCTGCCTTCCCTAAAGCCCGCCTACTCTCTCCTTGAGCATTCAGAGACTAGAGGATTTGTCCACATTAAACCAGATTCCCCTGGCTAGGCAGCTGTCATTCACTCACAGCTTGCAGTTGAATGAGTGCATTTTAAGAGGGTGTTAAGGGTGCTGGGTCCTCACCTGGAGAGGACAGAGGGCTCCTTGGAGCTGGAGGCTGTCACATCTCTGAAACGTCACACTCTCTCTGTCCCCTGGAAGAACCACTTGCTTCTCATTTGAGCCCTACCACCCGCTGAGCACCGGAAGGGTCCAGGCCAGTGGGCGTGACCTCCACTGGGACTGCCTTACCATCCCTGGCTCACCCCTGCAGAGGCCGACCTCGTCTCGCTGCCTGCCCAAGCAAGGCCCCCATCCACTTCCACCCTGCAGCCTCTCTGAGTGTTGGACTGACTGTCAGTTTTGGGTGAACCCCTCAGGGCCTGTCAGCACTGGGGATGTGTCAGCAGCAGCAAACGTGCGCCCTCCAGCCCGGGAGAGGCTCATTAGGAGGCAGGTTGGCAGCCCAGTTCGTGGGAGACTGTAGACACGGCTGCCTGGTGAGCTGGGAGGGAAGCCTGGCATCTTTGCCAGTGTCCCTAATCCCTGCTGTCCTGCTGAGGCTCACACACACCCCGCTCTGTCACTCTGGCCCCAGGCATCCAGGGACCTACAGGACACTAGCTCCCGCCCCAAGGCCTGGCATTGCTACTGACAGCCTGTGACTTGGGGAAAGCCACACACTCTGGACCTCCCTCTGTAATTCTGGGGAGGGCGGGCATTGTTACTCGTGGCCCACTCCACAAAGTTGACTGAAGTTTAGTCAGCCGGCAGGTATTTCTTAACACTACTTATATTACCGATGTATGCTAGGCACTGTTCTTGAAGCTGAAGATACAGCAACAAATGAAGCAAACAAAAATCTCTGGCCTCGTACAGCTGACATTCTCGCGGTGAATGGGAATTGTTTGGGAGACAGGAGCTTGGAAGAAAGGCTTGAGTGTTTTAGACGGAACAGAACAACACGTGTCCAGTGCTGGCCGTGTGGGTGATGTAGAGACTCCCACGTGGGGGTTCTGATTCCATTTCACAGAGGTGTAACCGGGGTCTCCAAGGGCTAAGACAGTTGCACAGGGTCACTTGGCTAGTGGCTGGAGAGCTGGGATTGCCACCAGAGCCTGCAGCCTTCCCTGTATACCCCACTGCCTCTCACACCAGGGGCTCCGTGTCCTGAGCCTTTTGATGCTGAATAAGATGTGTGATTTGTGGGCAGAAGAGCCCATTTTTTTGTCTCACTCCCAGGAGCCCCTTCTCTTGGGTGCTGGCCCCAGAAGTCACAGTTAATTCAACATGAGCCTTTGTTGGACCTGTGCTGAGGGGTTTGGAGCCAAGGCCTGCCGTTCACAGCGGGCTGAACCTTGGGGCAGCCCAGCCAGGACTGGGCGGCGACAAAACTGTCAACAGTGTGGTCAAAGCCGTGCCTGGCTTCTGTCTGCCTGCACCTGTCTCTGGGCAGTGTTGCTCTTCACCTCCCTCTCTCCCGAGGCTGGAGTCTGCAGCCTCTGGTGGCTGCCTGCGTGCACCATCCCTGGAGCCTCGATTGCACAGGAATCTCACACTCAGTGGTCTCCACTTCAGCTGCAAGTTCAAATCCTCCACAGAGCTTTAAACAATTCCCCTGCCAGGCGCACCCCAGACCCACTGATGCTGAATCTCTGGGGCGAGGCATCGGCGTCAGGATTGCTAGAGCTCGCCAGGGGATCCAAGGTGCGATCGAGGTTGAAAACCAGAGAGGTCAGAGGCTCTGGCTGAACATTAGAATCAGCCAGGGACTTCTCAAACTACCTGTACTGGAGTCCAATCTAGACTAATTAAATCAGGTCTGCTGGCCATGGGATTATTAAAAAAAAGACCTCCCAGTGATTTTTGGGGGTATCCAAAGCTATGGCTGTAACTGGGGTCCTCCTATTGCAACTGAGCTTGTAGCTGTCACTGATCAGGTCACCTGAGGGGCGGGTGTTAGTGGTCCGAGGAGAGGCACTCCTTCCTGGGGCCCCTGACGGTCCCCTGCAGAGCTGGAGGCTCTGGGAGTGACTGGGAGATTCTGTGGGGCAGGGTCTTCACTCAGACCCTCACCAGCTGTGTGACTGGGCAAGTCACTGGGCTCCCTTGGGGCATAGTTTCCCCATCTGGAAATGAGGGGACTGCAGGTAACGCTCCAGAACATGCATGGCAGAGCTGGGGGGCCCTGAGCTGCTGAGCACTGGGCCTGGGGACTGTGTGTCTGAAAAGCTCCCTGGTGATGTGTCAAGACAGCCAGGCTCGGATGCCACTAAGGTCACTTCAGCCTCGTCATTCCAGGAATCAGAAATTGCAGAGCTCAGGGATCCAGGCTCGGGTGTCCCAGATTTAAGTAAATTTTATATGAAAATCAATTTGAGTATGGCCAAATGCTAAAGCGGAGAGAAGGGGGCATTTCTATAGAGACCACCCACGTGCCAGGGGAGTTTCACCTACTTGTCTTTGCAGCTCTTCTATAAGAACAATATCATCCCAACTTTAAAGCGCTGGCTTGTGGCTCACTGAGGTTAAGTGGCCCCTCCAGGTTCCCCAGCTAGTGGCCCAGCCCCAGGTCCGCATTCCAGCCTCTCTCCAGCTCACCAGCCCACCTGCAGGAGCCCACTTTTGTTTTTTGGTTTTTTTTTTTGTTCATTTCCCACAATAATTCACCTCAGAGAGACATTGCTTTTTGCTTTCCACAAGAATTTAAAGAATTTCTTTAAATGGTGGGCTTCTACACCTGCCTCATTTTGCATTTTAGTAACAAAAATCCAGTCGGTGCGCAACCTGTGAGGCATTCCTTCCTTGCAGAGCAGTTTCTGCCCCGATGCAGGCGAATCCACACCCCGCCCCCTCCCAGCCCCCACAAAGACTCATCCGAAGGGAGACAGCGCCTCCTCCTGGGGCTCCGGAAACCCAAGGCCAAGTCTTCAGAGACCCGAGGAGATGGGCCGTGACTGTGGACGGGCGAGATGATGAGATGTTCATGGAAAACAGGTCCAGGCAGCCGCCTCTGCGTGCCCCATTTAGAACTGAAGGCTGGAGAGCCTGGCTCCTCCACCAGGATCCGACCTCCCCAGGCCGGCCTCTGCCCTGGGACCGCCCAGCTCCCCCACCCTGGGAGTCCCTGGAGGACCGCTGGCGCCAAGGGTTAACCTGCAGGCTTCCACCTCCCTCCTCCGCCTCTGGTCCGCTAGCCTGTTGCCAGGGAAACAGGCTAAAAATAAAATGGGCTCCCAGATTCCAGCCCATGCACAGGAGTCAAAACAAACTAATTAAAGCGGCCAGGCGAAAATGTGAAGATAATTACACCCTCACTCAGGAGCCAGTCGTGGCCCGGAACAGCTCAGCAGGCTGCCCCGGCCGGCCCTGGGCCCATCCCTGACACGCAGGGCTGGCTCCCACCGCTCAGACCCTGGGTTCTGCCACGCAGTCTCGTCACCCCTCCCAGGAAAGCCCTCCCTGCTTAGGCCTGAGATCAGGGGAGCAGCATGCCCCCACCGTGATGGCCCCACCCCTGATAAATTCAGTGTGGCTTCGTGCTGGGACACGTGCCCCCTCCGGCCAAGGAGAAGGTGGGGTGAACTGAGGTCTGTGGCTGATTTCCCACATCCTCCCTGAAATGGGGGAAAGTCCCTACGCACCTCTGGGGCTGCTGCTTTCCCTCAGACCTTTGCTAAAGGGCCCTGAGACAGTTCCTTCGTCTCTCGGGCTGCTGTGTCCACTCAGGGCCTGGGAGCATGAGAGGGGCAATGTCCTTCTGGTGGGTGTCGCTGCGTACTCTCTGGCCCAGGAGCATGAGAAGGGCCCCATCCTCAGGCCACGTGGGTGCTGGGTTAAGCCCATCCCACCATAAGCCCTTTGTCTCACAGGACCATCAAGGTGGAGGTGTACGACTGGGATCGCGATGGCAGGTAAGCAGGCAGAAGCGCAAAAGAGGGGGCAGGGACAGGGCAGCCACTGGGGGAGGCTGTGCTCACCCCCGCCTGGTGGCGGTTCTGGGGTTGAGGGGCCTGCGTGTTCCTGTGGGACGTCCCCTGCCCCTTGACTCATCCGTGTCCAGATCCCCTGGCCCCAGAGGACCCCTGTCCTGCAGGACACGATGCAAAGGGCGTAAGAGGCCTCTTTTCCTCAGAGAGCTGCCTAGCGGCCAGCCAGCACCTCAAACCTCCCCATGTTTAGGAGGATTTAGGACTTTTGAAATGTGCATGTTGTAAGGTATAGACAATAGTGATGCCCTGAGCATTCATGGCCACGTTCTCTGTGTGAGCTAAGCCGTGTGGGGGTGATGGAGGTGCAGGTGGGCTCAGTCGGTGGGAAGGGGAAGCTTTGCCACAGACAAGTGGGCTCAGGAGCGTTGAAGCAGGGCCTGATTAGGGCCGAGCCTGCCAGCGGGAGGGCAGTGCCCACTCAGGGTCTTTGGGAAGCCAGTGCCTTCCCCTTCTTAGTGCCCCCAAGGAGCCAGTGTCACTAGGAATTCACAGACGAGGACAAGACGGCCTCTCACAGCTTTAGTCCAGAACCCTCAGAGGCTCCTACTTGTCTGTTGAACCAAATCCAAATACACCATCTTGGCTTTTTTGGGCTCTCTGTTCTGTGGCACTAGCAGGGGGTCGTAGAGGGTTTTACACCCCACAGTCTCCACTGGTACCTCTCAAGTCTGTGATGTGGACAGGGGGGCTAAGCCCCTTCCAAGGAGCTTACCTTCCCTTTAGAGTTTCCTGTGGAGACCGGCCCGCGCCAGCACTGCCTCCGGTAATTCCCCTGTCCCTCGCTCCTCTCCTCTTTAACCACGTCACAGGCAAGTCGGCTTCCCGTGTCCAGCCAAGATTTGCCTCAACTTACCCTGGAGTCCTCCATACTTCTCCTTCACTGGAGAAGGCTGGGCACAGCCACCAGATGCAATTGGCTCCCACTATCAAGGAGCTCGCAGTCTGCATGCAGAGAGCTGTAAACTGTAGAAAAACTACGGTGCACACTCAAGGCTGGAAGGCCCCGGGACACCTCTGTGTCTGCAGTAGGCACTCCTTGCCCGCACAGGCGGGCAGAGGCATCAGCCACAGTGGAGGGGTGCTCTGCTTTGTACGAGGTTGTGCTGCATGCACTGTAAACTTGTGCAGGGCTCCAGCAGGTGCAGGAAACACCTCCAGGGGCCTGGGTGCACATGGCGCTAATTGTCTTTTTTAAAAATGTTGTAGGAAAAATGTCAAATGCACAGAAACGTAGAGAGAAGTGCTTAATGAACACTTCTAAGCCTTTCACCTGGATTTAACAAGGGTCACTTGTTGCCATGTTTGCTTTACTTGTGTTTTGTTACGTAGTTTAAATTTTAGGCATCATGGTTTTTTATCTCTAAATATCTCATTGGGAATGTCAAAAAAATAAAGGTATTTCCTACATAATTACGAATGCCATTATCATACCTGATACTTTGAATAGTAATCCTTGAATGCCCACTAATATTCATTTCATATTCCCTATTTCACATTTCACATTTCATTTCAAATTTCCCTAGCTGTCCCCAAAATACATTTTGCTCCTGGTTTGTTCAAACAAGAATCCAGGCAGGAATGGATCCTATTCTGCAGAGTCCTGCTTTTCGTTACTTGACCGTTGGGTTTCCTGCTCCACGGACGACACTGGACTCCTCCCGGGGATCCAGCCTCTCTGCTGGCATGTGCCCCTGGAGAAGAGGCCTGGGCAGAATTGGGAGCCAGGGAAGGGGTGTGAGAGGTGGGGGTCGGGGGCAGAGGCAAAATGCAGCAGGGACCTCGCAGTCTCAGCGGCAGCCTTCCTTTGCAGCCACGACTTCATCGGGGAGTTCACCACCAGCTACCGGGAGCTGGCCCGTGGGCAGAGCCAGTTCAACATCTACGAGGTGAGGCAAACGCTCCGAGCCTGGGGTTTGCTCTGATGGCACACAGCTCCTGCTTCCCAGCCATTGACGACCGTGGGGAGCCACATGCAGGGCTGGGGTTTTTGTGGGGTCTCCTTTGAGGTGGGTGCCATCCTCCCGTTCTATTGTGAAGGAGACTGAGTCTCAGAGAAGTTAGGGGAGTTGTCCAAAGACACATTTCAGGAAGTGGCAGAACCAAGAGGCAAGCAACCTAGGATGATCTGACTCCAAATAACAGAGGTACGGTGCCCCCAAAAGAATACTTCCAACAAGGTGGGGGGATTGAAGTAGGGGTGGGACAGGAGGTGAGAGAGAGTATTGGAAGGTTCCAGACCTGAGACCTGAGGTCCTGAGTTCAGGATGGCACTCTGCCTTCAATGAGAACAGTGTCAGGGCCTTTTCTGGAAGAAGAGGCTCAGAGGAAAGGCGTCAGGACACCTCTGTCTAGACCTGGAGAACCTAGGACAAGGCCCCCACTATCCCTGGACAGAGCAGCGTTTGCCCTCGGAGGACAGTCTCTGAGGCTAAAGCTTTGCTGGCCTGTGCTCTCCCTCTGGAGTGCCCCCGCACCTTCCGCATGTAGCTCAGCTCCTGCCGCAGTGCTGGCTTCCCACCCTCACTGCTGCTTGGGCTCATAGCCTGACTGTACCTTGCACCGCTCTGCTGTGCCACGGTGAACTGAATAAGTTACCGGATCGATGTCTGGCCCCGCGTGGGCATGACGTCAGTGCTGTCCTCCAGGATCCCGTGTTGCGCTCCCTCCCGTGTGCAGGAGACTCACGTTTCCCAACCCTCCTACAAGTGGCTCTAGCCTCACGTTAGCAGCCACTCAGCTGGCAACGCTGAAGAGCTGGCTTTGACCTGAGTCACCGAGTCTGAAACCTCCATCCTTCCCCTCCCTCACCCTGCATCTCTGTCCCGAGCACTCGGGTCTTGTGTTCCAGCTGGGCTGAAGCTCCCCGAGGGCAGGCGGCAGCCCTCTCGGCCGCCTCTCCTCACATTGGTCTGGGCCCTGCTGGGCACACAGAAGTGCTTATTAGACATCCACGCAGTGAATTCAGCTGAACAAGGCCATTGTGAAGGTAGAGCGTGGGTGAATGTCTTTGAATTCCTCACAGTTAATTGCTTTGGTTTCTGCATCGACAAAGGAAGGGCTGTCTTTGCCTGCTCCCTACCCCACCCAGGCAGAGAGGGGCAGGCTCCGTCTTTCTCTGGCCTCCATGAAGGAGATGTTTAGGGAGGTGAAAGGAAGGGGTTAGATCTCTTGAAGTCTGGCTTCTAAGGGTATGTGACACACCCGAAGAGGCCGTGGTCTCTCAGGCTAAAAGCGGAAAGGTGGGGTTCACTTGTTTCCTTGGTCGTGGATCCCTGCCCCCGTGCACTGGACAAGAGAAACTGCAGCTGTGGGAAGCAGAAGCATTATCTTCTCAGGGAAATGCCATCAGGCAGAAAAGGGATTAAACTCTGACAGCCCCCCACAGGCCTGGCACTGTGGGGTGTCCCTGGGAGGGCTCTCCAACAGTCCTCCTGAAGACAGAGCCAGCCTCCGCCCCAGAGGCCCTCGCCTCGGGCCCTGGCGCCGCCCTGGCTGTCCGACTTGTATGTTTGGCTGTCTGCTGACCACCCCTTAGACTTGGCCTTCCCAAACTGAATGCACCGGCCAAAATCTCCCTGCAGCCCTCCCCTCCCCCCGGCCAGCCTGTGCCGTCATCGTGGGGCCACGGCACCTGGGGAGCCATCCTTGGCAGCGGTGGCCCCTCACCATTCATGACGGCGCCCTACTTCTAGTACCAACAAGATATTCTGACATCTGTTTCCTTCATTCCCCGCTGTCCCCAGTGTCATCTCCCCTGAGTAGGGGCTTCACAGCAGCCCCCGAAGGCCTTCCCACCGCCTGCCGTCTTCCACTCAGTAGCCTGAGTGCTCCTCCGAAACAGTCACTTGACCACATCCCCACCCAACTTCAAACCCGACAGCAACCCCCGCACCTCGGCCCAGTTCACACAGGGGAGGTTGAAGGAGGTTTGGAAAGACACCTCACCCAAGCTGAGAGCTACAGGGCCTTTTACCTACGGGGGTGAAGTCCCAGCTCCTTCGCAGGGGTGCCGTGCCTCAGTGACCCGCAGTCTGTGGGCAGCGGAGGGCCTGTGTCAGTAGGTGCATGTGTCACACTCCTACTAGCCCCTAGGGTCTGACCCCAGCCCCTCCCTATGCTCACTCTACTCCCAGGCCAGTCTCGACAGCTGAGGCTCTCTGGACCTGCATGCCGGCTCCTCTTCTGTGGCCTCATTCTCACAGGCGCTGCCCCTGTGTCTGGGTGGTGTCTCACTTGCTGTTGTGTCCCCAGAGCCAGAGCAGCTCCTGGCCCCTGGGAGCCACTCTGTGCCCTTCTTGTACAGGAGGGTAGACCCCAGACCCACCCAGGGGAGGCTTGAGGTGTGAGGAGAGGGAGCAGAATAGGCTTAGAACGCCCACCCAGGGATTTGGGAGGCTCCCGGCCTGACCCCTAGGGGGTACTGGTCCCAAGCATGGAACCTCGTGGTGCCTCTACTGAGGCCGCAGAGGTTGGTGCGTCAGTCAGGGATGGGGTGTTTGCTGGGAGTGCATGAACCCTCAGGATAAACAGGGCGTCTCTCCAGTGCCACTTCACATGAAGATCTGAGAACAAAACATTGCTTTAATATTAAAAGTTATAATTAGAGAGTGGAAATGTGGAATACTGGCTAATTTAAAGACAACACAGAAGACTTCAAAGAAACGAGCTTGTGGCCAGGTCTTTGGGCGACGCCCAGATCCCCAGGAGTCTGTGTTTATTCTCCTCAGCGAGGAGGGCTAGTTTGGAGTAAAAGTTTAAGATGCACTCAGTTCTAAAAGTTCCACGCCCTCCTGGGACAGACTGCAAAACTGAGGCACGGTGCAGCACTGGAGTGTGCAACTGAGCCCTCATCTCAACACCTTGCCCAGTAGGCTGTTTTCCCACCAGTGTGTCTGTGAACCGCGTCACCTGGGCTGCTTTCGTGCCTGTGGAGGGTTTGAGGTTGTCCTGAGCTCCTCTCCCCAGACTCTCACTTGTCATCTGCACAGCTTGCCAGCCCTCTCATCTGAGCTCCCCACCTGTGCCCCAATCCAGCTCTTCCTTCCTTCTGTGTCTACCTGGTTGCCCCTGACCCCTCCCTCTCTCCCACCCTCACAGCCGTGCCCGGGGCCCAAGATCTGTGGTCAGTTCTTGACAATGCTGTTTTGCCATAGCTCAGTACCCGTTCCGACACCCAGGAGCCCTCGTTGCCTGTCACCTGGCCTGGTGGTAGTGGTAGTAAGTTGTGGTAATAAAAAATAATAACAGAGGACACGTACATATTGCTTACTACATCCCAGTCCCTGTCCCAAGCACTTGACTTGTATTGACCCATTTAATCCCCATATCTTCCTATGAGGTAGGTACTTTTTATTCACATTTTACAGATGAGGAAACTGAGGCCCAGGGAGGTTCAGTAACTTGCCTAAGGTCACAGTCATGAGGTGGCAAGACCAGGCAAACATTCCTCTGGATGTCCACTCTTCTGTCCCATACTCACCTCCACCAGATCCCAGCATCCCAGAGCCTGCGGGGATCTGCCCCTGTCAGCTTAGAGCTCATCCGAGTCTCTGCTACCCGCTGGGCGATGCTCAGACATTTCAATCGGCCTTCGAGGTTCTCTCCCAGCCAGCCCATTTTACTCTTCCCCCTGTGCTTCTGCAGTTTAACTGGACCCCCGTTCTGTGCTACCTCCCCCGCAACATCTCCTCTGACTGGGATGCCTCCTTCCACGTCTTTGTGTGCAAATCCTTCCTGTCCCTCCGCACCTGCCTGCAGCACCTGCTCTGGGAGCCTCCGCCAATGCTCTCGCCTGGAGTGGTTCTTCTAACGGCTCCCTTCACATTTCTGCCTCCCCTTTCTTGGTGGCTGTTGTCACCTGTCCGGAGGGCATGTCTTCTTTTCCCCAACGAGAGTTCAAAGTTCTAGAGGAGAGGAGCTGGTACCCCCGCCCTGTAAGTGTTTGTGAGGAGTGTGTTTGTATTTGTTATCCAGGTGGCCTGGTTTCTAATTCTGTCCCTACCCAGACCAGCTGTGTGTCCTTAAGCAGAACACTTGGTGTCTCCGTGCCTTAGTTTCCGTATCTGCAGAAGTGGGTATCAGTAGTTACTCAGACAGAAGAGACCTCGGCTAGAGACCAGCTGGCTGCCCCTGCAGGAAGAACAGGCAATGGGGGAGACGGGAGAGAGCACTGGACACCTGAGGAGGGCAGAGCGGGTGTGGAGATCAGAGGTTAGGGAAGGGCTGGGCCTAGATTTCCCGTGTAAAAACTGAAGGTGCTGGGGAGGCCCAGACTAGAGTACAAACGACGTGCGTGCAATAGACCCGGAGAGGCTCCCAGGGCAAGGGGCCCCCCTCGCCATCCAGGCCTGTCAGCTCTGTTGGCATCTTGGACTTTGTGACTCTGTTGCAGGGAGCTGTCCTGTGTGTCCTTAGGACGGTTAGCAGCATCCCTTGTCCCTACCTACTCCCCGAGTTGTGACAACCAAAGAGATTTCCAGACATTGCCAAATGTCTCCGTGGGTGGGGAGATCACCCCCAGATGATGTCACTGAGTTAACCCACCAAGAAGTGGGTTTTGTTTTTTCCAGCACCTACTGCATGCCTAGCTAGTGCTCTGATACATTCTCTGATGACAGGTGTGGTTTGGAAACAGGGCTTGCATGTGAAGAGCAGTTAAGGAGGTTCTAACTGCAGTGTAAGGGCAGAGGTGGCACAGCCGGGAGCAGGGAGCAGGGAGGAGGGCGGAGGGGGCGTGTTCTGGGTGAGGGAGCAGCCTGAGCGAGAACGCGGGGCAAGCTTGGGCAGGTCCCTTTGCGACATCAAGCCTCTCTGGCTGCGTAGGGTGGAGGATGTGTTTGGGGAGTAGTGGGAAAGATTAAATAAATATTTTTCTTGGTGTGTTTGCTTACGGGTCCAGTTAGGGAGCCCAGTTGCTTAAATCTAAATGATAGTCTCTCACAGGACCTCCCTGAATCCTCCTCCCTGGGACCCCCAATTTTTCAGCCCACTCTGCTTGCTGGGGTCTAGGCCACACCCCGGGGGGCCAATGCAAGCCCAAGGGGTCCAGCTGTGCCTGTTTGGGAACCACCTTCTTATTTGGTAACTGGTTTTTCCTGCAGGTGGTAAATCCAAAAAAGAAAATGAAGAAAAAGAAATATGTGAATTCTGGCACAGTGAGTAGCCACGCCCTCCCACTTTGCAGCCCAGCATAGACACTCTGAGCCCCGAGCTGGGTCTGGGTTCAGGGGGCATGGGCGTCCGTGTGCTTATGCAGTGTGGGAACCAGACCTGAGAGTTGGGGTGGGGAGGGGTGCGGAGGGGTGGGGCCCTCCCAGCAGGGGCCCCAGCAGCCCCGGGGATAGGCAGTGGGCGGTAGGTGGGGTTTCAGCCTTGTATCAGACTGTGTGATACAGAATGAGAAATCCCAGAGAGAAACTCCCGTGGGACTTCCTACAGGAAGGAAGAGGAAAAGGAGTAACGTTTATTGGGCCTTTACTCTGGGAAATTCCCAGTTTAGGTGCTTTTCACAGGTTGTTTCCTTGAGAGGCAGCTGTTATCATCCCCTTGTCATGAAAGAGGAAACCAAGGCTGCAGGCAGGAAAGTGACTCAACGAAAGTCCCAGAGCTGGAGAGTGGTAGCAAGGGCAGCCGGCGCCGTAGTTTATTCAGAGCTGGCAGGGGCCACGGGCACTGCCCTGGCTTCACTGCGACCATCTGGGGAGCGCACTGGCCCAGCAGCTCCTGGGGGCTCATCTTCACGCATTTATTCAACAAATGGAAGTCTTTGTCTTGCTGGCCTTTCTGTTCTAGTGGGAGGAAACAGAAAGCAAATAGACATACGTACACATGTGTGCAGGTGTGTCAGGTGGTTTGAGTGCTGTGGGGAAAAGTAAAATAAGATAGAGGGACAGGGAATGCCAGGGACGAAACAACTATTTTGTGTAAAGTAGTCAAGGGAAGCTTCTCTGAGCAGGGGACATTTGAGCAGAGATTCGAAGAAGGTGAGGGGGCAGGAATTGAGGATATTGGGGAAAGGGAATTCTAGTACGGACCAGCATGTGCAAAGGCCCTGAGCTGGATACGCCCACAGTGCATTTATAGACCAAGCAAATGTCTTTGCAGTGCAAACATGTCCACTCCCGTACTCTCCGTGTCCCTCGCCACTCCAGAGGTCCACAGCACCACCAGCCAATGCAGCCAAACCTAGTCACGTGAGTCAGGCAGACTGCAGCTCCAGGCCCAGAAGAGGCTGTCGTCAAGGAGCTCTGAGGTTCCTCTGAGGAAGCTCATTTTCTCCATCTGTGACACGGGGCTCACGAGTCATCCCTCCCCTCCTTATTGCACAGGCTGGCTATGACAGACATCCGAGAGATGCAGAGACACAGGCCTGTGAGCTGCAAAGCAGTCTGCTTACTCAGAGGGGCAAGCCCCAACCCCTTTGAGTGGAGCTGTTCCATAGACAGGCTCAGCATGGTACAAGGTGGGGAAAGTAGGCTTACAGTCATCCATCTGGAAAATAGTACAATAGTCAATAAATAATGATACAAGAATAAACTCTGTGTCACCTGCTCACAACTGCAAACCTCCTTTTGCCCCGCCCTGTATTTCCTTTGTCCAAAGCTGCAGTGTCTCTCCATGGGGATGCAGTTGGAGACTTAGGCAGGGTCATTCTGCACCTCGCAGACCTTCCCTTCACATTGTGGGGTGCTTAGCACCTCTGGCCTCAGCTACCAGTAGATACCCAGTCATTGTGAGACCCCAGAACTCTCCTACACTTTCCCAAATGCCCCTAGGGGAGGCAGCAACTCCCCTAGCTGAGAAATATTGGATGCACAGTTTTTTTAAAAGTTTTGAAAACTACAGATATTGCCCAGCTTTCTTACTTTAAAGGTAAAGAACCTAAGGCCCAGAAAGGGGAAGTGAACTGTTTTAGTCACACAGTGAATCAGGAGCAGAGCAGGCCTGAGCCCAGGTCTCTTGACTTTCCTTTGCTGCCGCATTTCCCAGTCTTCACTTTAAAAGAATCACTCAGGACCCTGGCCAGTGTGGCACAGTTGGTTGGGCATTGTCCTGCAGACCAAAAGGTCTCAGGTTTGATTCCCAGTCAGGGTACAGGACTGGGTTGTGGGTGTGGCCCCCAGTCAGGGCGTGTGTGGAAGGCAACTGACCAATGTTTCTCTCTCACATCAATGTATCGATGTTTCTTTCCCCCTCTTTCTCCTCCCTTCCATTCTCTCTGGAGTTGATTTAAAATTTTTTTTAAATCACTCAGGGTCCAGTATACTTATTAAAATACAGACGCCCAAGCTAGTTGCCTGGGGTTCCAGGCTGGGGTGCAGCCATCTGTGTTTAGTGCTTCTCACATCTTACTTACTGTGTACAGAATCTCCTGGGGATCTTGTTTAAATGCCAAGAATCTGCATTTCTGCATTTTTTACCAGCACCGTGGTGATTGTGAGCATGCTGGTCGGGGACCACACTTTGAGTAGCAAGTCCATGGGAGAATCCATGCAGTCAGGCAAGTTAGGGTCTCAGGCCATCCCAGGGCCTGGGTAGGAGTTCAACTCTGGCTGCAGGTTGGACTCAGGTGAGGAGCTACAGAAAGATCCAGGGCCACAGCCCTGCCCCAGCCCTGCCCCAGAAACTCTGGTGTAATTGGTTTGAGGGCCTCACTGGGGCTGCAAGCTGTTCTAAAAGCTCCTCAAGGAGCCTAGTGACTGTCATAGGAGAGGCTACTGCCATAGTCCCTTGCTAGTGAAAGCAGGCCTTGTCCTGTGCCTAACGCCAGAACCGCAGTGGGTGGGGGTCTCTGAGGCCCCCTCAGCTCTCACAGACCCTCCCATTTTGGGGCTAACGGCTCATCGGCCTGGTCAAGCAGGGGCCCGACCGGCCTACCTAGCAAGCCCGTACAGATGGCTGAACCTGCACCAGCAGGGAGCAGCCGAATCCTACAATGGGGTTCTGTGATGCAGGTACAAGGTCCCTTGCCCCAATTTTGCCTCATGTAATTGGTTTCGGCTGCCAGGCTTTCACTTGTCTCTGCGATCCTAAATCATCATCGTAATGAGCTGCCAGGAAGCTGCCAGTCTTGGTGAAGCTGGTGCCAAAGCCGCCAGCGGGCATATGTCAAAAGGCCTGTGCTTGGGGGAGGGGGTCCTGGGTGGCGTCTCCTCCCGGAAAAGACCAGGCTGCTTAAGAGGGTCTTGGGTCTGAGGGTAGAGACTGAGAGGCACCAGAAGGATGAGGGGGACACATAGGGTTCATGATAAGTGCAGAATGGAGCGGCAGGCTGCAGGGCTGACGGTTAACGGGTGTGGAAGTGTGGCGCTGTCAGCGTGGCGGGTTGCAGGGCTGTGTCTGGAAGACCCCCTTGCCCTCCACGCTCCACGCTGACGGGAACCATGCCCTTGGCTGGAACCTCCATGCTCCCGTGACAGAGACAGGGTCCTTCTGGGAAGCAGTTTGGCACTGAGTGTGACGTGCAGGCTCTGGACTCAGAAGGGCCTGGCTTGCGTCTTGGGTGGCCACGTGCTGACAGTGTCCCTGGGCACATTGCATGGCCTTTGTGAGCCTCAGTTTCCTTGGTGATAAAATGGAGATGATACCAGCACGTCATAGAGTCGCTGTGAGCCCTGCACACAATGATGTGTGCAAACCGGCGCATGCGGAGTGCTCCAGCAGGGTCAGCAAGCCATCCCCCCTCCCCCCGGCCTGTGCTCCCCACTGACCAAGCTCCTTTTGTTTTCAAGGTCACGCTGCTTTCCTTTGCTGTGGAGTCAGAGTGCACATTTCTGGACTACATCAAAGGAGGGTGAGAAGAGATGCGGCCGGTTTCCATGGCCTCATGGAGAGGGAAGGGGCCTCACTTGTGGGCCTGGGCAGCTCTGGCCCCACCCTGGCCTGCGGGAGGCCCTGGGCAAAGCCTGTGATTCTGGGCTCTGAGCAGCCCTCCCGGTGTCTGGGTCTAGACCACTCTCCAGAGCCCTACCTGCCCCTGGATCCTGAGCAGCTGCAGATGGCATTCCTCAGCCACGGAGGCCAGTGGGTCGCGTCAGGTCTCCATGCAGAGATGACACCTGGACACGTGGTAGGGACTCCATGACAAAGAGAACCAAGCACTTCAGGAGGCGCTGTGGGCCCGGGACTAGGAATCACGAGGTGCAGGCTCTAGAGCCCTCTTCACCCTGAATTTGCTGGATTGCTCAGGGCAGGTCACCCTCTCTCCCCAGGAGTCAGTTTCCTCTGAGCATGAGAGGTTGAAATCTGGTCAATTCTAAGATTCCTTTGTGCTCTGAGCTCCTGATATCTCTGGTCTGTCTTGGGGGCAGCGATTAACCTGTCTGCTGTCTTTAGGGACATATAAAGGGCAGGAGGGCATGGAGGATGAGCCGGGGGTGGTCCCAGGACCAGCAGTTGGTCAAACGTGAGTTTAAGGAGCAGAAAGAACCCGAGGCTTTGGCATCCAGGCCAAGGCAGCGGGGGAAGCCTCGGAGGCTCCAGCCAAGAGCTCATGGAAAAACAGCCTGACTCTGCCAAGGACAGGTGCCAGGTCAGGGTGTGGGTAGCCAAGAGCCCACAGGTGCAGGCAGGTGAATGATACACCTGTCTGGAAAGGAGACAGGCAGGGCAGCTGCCAGAGGCTCGTCCCAGCCGTGCGGGCACTCGGCTGCCTGGCTGCCAGGGCAGAGGGAAAGTCAGGGCCTGGGAAGCCACACCCGCTCACCCATGACACGGCTCCCTGAGGCCTTGAACCCGCAGTCTCCAAGTTGGGAGCTGTCCTTCACCCACTGGGCACACAGCCTCCCTGCCATCGCCCAGAGGCCTCCCTGCCTCTGTCCCCTGCCCCTCCTGAGCCTACTCTCGACCTGCCCTCGCTCCCTCCCCCATCAAAACTGCTCTGTTCTTGATCCATTAAGCAACCACCCCTTACATTCCGTAGTACCTGCTAATTTCTAATCAATCCTCATCCTATTTATTCTTCTCATTTGCATAATACCCCCAATTTACAGAACACAGTGGGCAAGGCAAGGAGGATCTTCATTTTACATAACTTTCCGGAGGCCACATGCCCAGCCAGTGGCGGCGTGCCTTCTGTCACCACATGCCACATTTCTTCCACAGTAATGAGTATCCCCGCCTGCCTGGCCGCGCCGGGGCGGGGTGGGATGCAGATGGAGACTGCCGAGTTAAAGGGCTGTGGCGTCTCCCGGAGAAGGAGCCTCGGAGGCGGGTGGGCTGCTGTGCGAAGCTGGCGCCTGGTGTACTGGGCAAGTTAGAACACTGGAACCGCCCTGGCCCTCCCCGCCTCCACCCGCCCCACGCCTCTCCACACTCGCTGGGGAGCCTGAGGGAGAGGCTGGCTCCAGGCCGGAGAGCCAGTGAGCGTGTCTGGGCAGGCAGCTGACAGAGACAACAGTCTAGGGATCCTCTCCTCCCTGGCCTCCCTCCCTGGCCCACCTGGAGGGGTGGGGTGGCATGGGGAGCGTATGGGCACCTCTGCCCCCCTGTCAGAGGCGGAGCTGGTTTCTCAGCAGTCTGTGTTCTGCCCTGCTGTGCCCTTAAGAGAGGTGAGCCTGCAGGGAGGAACTTCCTCACAAAACTACCTACTTTCCAGGCCCTTCCTTCCCTAAGTCACTTCAGAACCCAGAGCAGGGGAAGACTGCTTACGGAGTAAGGCCTGCCTGTCCTCCACGCTGTAGTCCTGAAGGTCAAAACCGCCCTCCCAGGGTGGCCCAGGGAGCCGGGCTTCCACCCTCCAAATGTCTCCCTCCCTCTAATGAAGTCACAGTTTCTACATTCTACCCTGAGGGGTGACAAGGACCAGCCCATGGATAGGGTGGGTCAACTGCTGTGACAACCTACCAACCTCAAGGCTTGGAACAAATAAAGGCTTATTTTTCATTGTTGGGGCGGCAGGGAAGGGTGGGGAGGTGCTTCACACAGTCACTCAGGAACCCAGGCCCTCGCTAGCTGTGTCTCCTTCTCCTTCAGAGCTTGGGACCCACTGGACCCTCTGCCCCCAGGCAGCAGACAAGGGACGGGGGTTGTGGGGAGAGCTGCCTCTGGCCAGCAGATCGTGGCTTGGGTTTCCTGCTACCCATGTCCTTCACCCCTCCTGGGGGGCGAAGGGTCCATGAGCCACAGTTCAGCTGTGATCAGGTGGAGAGAGGGCTGTGGTTTCTGACAGGGACCGTCTGCTAAATGCAGGTGAGGTGAGCCCTGCCTCAGCTTATGTCATCCCTGGCCCCAGCTCGAAACCCCCAGAACAGCATTTCCCCAAGTGTGACCCCAGAGCCCCCTCCTCAGAATCCCACATGAGGGCAGAGGATATGCATTAGAGAAGCAGATTCTGGGCCCATCTCAGACCAACAGAAGCAGCATACTTGGGAGTGGTGCCCTGGGATCTTTTTTCTTTTTCTTTTGATTTTTTAACGTATATTTTATTGATTATGCTACTACAGTTGTCCCAATTTTTCTCCCTTTGACCCCCTCCCCCAACCTGGTACCCTCCCTCCCTCCAGCATTGCCCCCTTAGTTCATGTTCATGGGTTCCATATAAGTTCTTTGGCTTCTCTATTTCCTATACTATTCTTACCCTCCCCCCATCTATTTTTTACCTACCATTTATGCTACTTATTCTCTGTACCTTTCCCCCATTCTCACCCCTCCCCCTCCCAGCTGGTAACCTTCCATGTGATTTCCATTTCTGTGATTCTGTTCCTGTTCTGCTTGTTTGTTTATTTTTTGTTTTGTTTTGTTTTAGATTCATTTGTTTATAGTTGTGAATTTATTGCCTTTTTAATGTTTATAGTTTTGATCTTCTTTTTCTTAAATAACTCCCTTTAACATTTCATGTAATAAGGGCTTGGTGATGATGAATTCCTTTACTTGACCTTGTCAGAGAAGCAATTTATCTGCCCTTCCATTCTAAATGGAAGTTTTACTGGATAGAGTAATCTAGGTTGTAGGTCCTTGCATTTAAACACTTTGAATACTTCTTGCCAGTCCCTTTTTGCCTGCAAAGTTTCTTTTGAGAAATCAAGTGGCAGTCTGATGGGAACTCCTCTGTAGGTAACTGTCTCCTTTTCTCTTGCTGCTTTTAAGATTCTCTCTTTATCTTTAACCTTTGGCCATATTTTAATTGATGTGTCTTTGTGTTGTCCTCTTTGAATCTGACTTGTTTGGGACTATCTGTGCTTCCTGGACTTGAATATCTATTTCTTTTGCCAAATTAGGAAAGTTTTCTTTCACTATTTTTTCAAATAAGTTTTTGATTTCTTGCTCTTCTTCTTCTCCTTCTGGCATCCCTGTGATTTGGATGTTGGCACATTTGGAGATGTCCCAAAGTCTCCTTATACTATCCTTTCTTTAAAAAAATTTCTTGTTTCTTCTTTCTGTTCTGGTTGAATGTTTATTTCTTCCTTATGTTCCAAGTAATTGATTTGAATCCTAGTTTCCTTTCCTTCACTCTTTGTTCACTGTAGATTTTTCTTTATTCTACTTATTATAACCTTAATTTCTTCCTTTATGTTGTTGCCCTACTCAGTAAGTTCTTTGAGCATCCTGATCACCAGTGTTTTGAACTCTGCATCTGATAGATTGCTTATCTCCATTTTGTTTAGTTCTTTTTCTGTTTTTTTTTCCTATTCTTTCATTTGGGCCATATTTCTTTGTCTCCTCATTTTGGCAGCCTCCCTGTGTTTGTTTCTGTGTATTAGGTAGAGCTGCTTTGACTCCCTGTCTTGGTAGCATGGCCTATAAGAGGCACCTGTAAATTGTGTGGGGAGAGCCTCTGGTAATTGCCAGGGTGGGGCAACCCACCTCACTGGTTTGTGGTTCTGTGTGGGGAGAGGGCTCTGAGAGGGGACTGTACTGCTGCCTGGCTTCTGCTGGTTTGCCAGGCATTCACCCTGTTCCCGGACACTTCACCCAACCCCCATATGGAACTGTTGCCCTTCTAGCTGTCACCCTGGTGTTGAATCCCAGAGTGGGTGGGTTTGTGTATGTTGTAAGACTATGCAGGTCCTTTAAGCAGAGTTTCCCAAAAATCTGGCAGTTTCTTCTACCACCATAACCCCCAATGGTTTTTACAGCAGAAGTTATGGGGATTTATCTTCTTGGTGCTGAAACCCTGGGCTGTGTGGTCTGACCTGAGATTGCTCGCTCCCAAGGTGTCCCTCCTGATTTTTATTCACCACATGTGATTGTGGGACCACCCATGCCTGTCCTACCACCACCGCCACCGCCTCCATGGCACCCTGCATCTCCTCACCTTCCCCACCCCTCTCCGTGACTCCACCCCTCCTACCTGTTTGGATGAGTGTAGCTTCTTTAAGTCCTTGGTCGTTGGACTTCCCTACAGTTTGATTTTCTGGCAATTCTGAGTGTTATTTGTTTTGAGATTTAGCTGTAATTCTTTTTGTGGTTGTGCGAGGCGATGAAGTGTGTGTACCTATGTGTCCATCTCGACCGGAAGAGGGGATCTTCTTTTTAAACAAGCTCCCTGGTGGCTGGGCTCACTCAGTGTGAGAACCATCGGACTGGACTTTCTCAGGGGCTCATGTCTTGCCATCTTTGTCCCCGTCAGCACCTAGCACAGAACCTGGAACAGCCAAACCCTCAGCAATTTCAACTCTGAATCTGAAGCCTCAAAGCTAACTTTTTACTATGGAAAAACCCCAAACACATGCAAAACTGGAGAGAAGATATGATGAAACCCAGGTACCCTTCACCCAGACTCAGCAACTACCAGCTCATGGCCCATCTTCTTCCATACCCTCTCCCTTCCATGCAGTTATTTTGAAGCAAATCCTGGACATGTCATCCCCCAAATACTTCAGGATGTGTCTAAAATAAAAGGACTCTTTTCGTCAAATATAATTAAGCACCATAATCACACCTAAACACTGAAAGTTCCTTAATACCAAATCTAGCTGGTGTTCAGGTTTACCCAATTGACTTACAAAGTGTCCTAAGTGGCATATTTGAAGCAGAAATCAGGCAAGACCCATACATAGGTGGTGAAAGTAGGTGTATAGTTGTAACACAAGTAAATGATACAATAAAATAATACAAGAATAAACCGTGTTTTGCATACTCACAACTATAAACCTATTTTTTCCTACCCCTGTATTGCAGTTGGTTGATTTATCTCTTAATTCTCTTTTCACCTATTGGGTCCCCCACTCACACCTGGAAGGTTTGCTAAGACAGCTTCCTGCACCCTCAGAGGGCTTCTGATGCAGTGGGTCTACAGGAGACTCGGGGTCCTCTAGGTCCCCAGGCGATCCCCATACTGTCGGTCCATGGGTCACTTCCAGTGGTGCCCAGAGCTCCCCACAGACTGGCTTTACTGGCCACAAGCCCTGTGGTGTCATTTACCACGTCCCTCTGTCTGCTGTATTTCCAGTAGACAACTGGTAGATAGCTCTGGAGGCTCAGTCAGGTTCAGGTTCAATTTTGGGGCAAGACAGCTTCATGGGTGGTGTTTTGTTCTTCCCTGAGGGGATGTACAACGCCTATTTCTCTCTTTTTTTTGTCAAATAAGTTTTAACCCTGAATCTGAGTCCATATTTGAGCCAATGAGCAAATGAGTAATCATGATCACTTCCCGCACAGAACATCGTCATCTTCAAAGAGCTTTCATGCTGCCTGACTCTAGCGATGCTCACAACAGCCCTGGGGGGAGGGCGCGGCTGGCGTCACCATCCCAGATGGAAAGGCCACGGAGAGGCAAGCAGTGGGGCTGGGTGCCAGCCAGGCCTCCCACTCCCTGTCCAGCTCTGCTCACCCTCCCCGCAGCCCTGCCCTTGTCCAGGTAACTTCCCTGCTGTTCTCCCTCTTCTAGGACCCAGATCAACTTCACGGTGGCCATCGATTTCACGGCCTCCAATGGTGAGTGGGGGATGGGCAGAGGAGCTGATGGGGGAGGGAGGGGAGGGCTTTCCAGGGCTGGGGTAGTAGGCCCTGGCTGGCAGCCAGGCCTCCCATACTCTCTGGCCTCATCCTCACAGGAAGAGGTGCTTAGGCCTGGAGAACCAAAGACAGAACCACAGTCACTAACAGATCTGGGCCTTGAGCCGCAGCCCTGCCCTTGAGAACACACAGTCTCCCTGGGGGGATACAACAGTGCTACTCAGAGCTATGGAGAGCCCTGGAGGAGAGGTGCTTCCTCACAGGCCCAATCCCACACCCTCTGCCGTGCAGCCCACAGGCTGGAGGGGAGGCGGGGAGTCAGGACTAAGCGCTGTGGTCTTCAGTGAGGGGGCGCACAGACCAGGAACCCAGCCCTCTCCCTTGCTGGGGCTGCCTCAGCTTCCTCCCTCCACTGACCCCCTCCAGCATCAGACTATGACCAAGGCTCCAGGAGCAATCAGTGCCAAACTTTACACTGTCAGAAACATCTCAACCTCCTTTGGAGTCTGGACCACTGTTAGCAGTGCTCAGGGCTCATTTTTGTGCCTGTCAGAAGACGCTCAGGTCTCATACCCCACAGGTGTGTCAGAAACCCCTGGCATCACAGATAGCGTGGTAGGATGTCAGAACTGGGAAAGGCCTTAGTGGTAATAACAAAGAAGAGAATTACAATAACACCTGTTTAATATTCAGAACAGTCCTGTGTGGTGGGGTCTATTATTATCCCCATTCTGCAGATGAGGAGATGGAGGATGAGGAGTTAAGGAATTTACCCAAGATCACACAGCTAGTAGAAAGTAGAGAAGGATTGGTACCTTGGCAGCCTGGGCTGTACTTCCTGTCATTAGTGAATAAGTAAAATAGCCCTGGCTGCTGTGGCTCAGTGGCTTGAGTGCTGGCCTATAAGTCACAGGGTCGTTAGTTCTATTCCCAGTCAGGGCACATCCCTGGGTTGTGGGCCAGGCCCCTGGTAGGGGGCGCTTGAGAGGCAACCACACATTGGTATTTCTCTCCCTTTCTTCCTACTCCCCCTCTCTAAAAATAAATTTTAAAAATCTTTTAAATAAGTAAGTAAAATATGGACAATATTGGCAGTGACAAGGGCTATGGAGAAAAATCAAGTGAGGGTGAGGGGTAGGGAGGGCTGGGGAGGCTGTAACTTCCGGTGGGCTGCTCAGGCAAGACCGCACTGAGAAGGAGACACTAGAGTAGAAACCTGAAGAGGCAAGGGAGCAAGCGGCGGGTACATCTGTGGGGAAGTGTCCCGGAGCAGGGGAACAGCCACTGCCAAGGCCCCGAGGTGGGACTGAGAGGGGAGGGTGGTAGGGGATGAGGACAGAGGTAACTGGAGGCTGGATCACGTGGGGCCTTGTGAGGACTTCGGGTTCATTCTGGGGCTGGGACAGCCTTGGAGCTCTAGAGCAGAAAAGGGGTCGTCCAGCTGCCTGTGGATCCATGTGCTCGCTCTGGCTTGTGCGCTGAGTGTGGACCACAGGCCCAAGGGCGGCGGAAGCAGGGAGGCCGGCAGCAGGCTCCTGCTCTCCTGCGGGCAGGAAGCTGACATCGCCGAGGAGGGGAGGGGGTGGGCCTCTGGGTGTGTGTTGAAGGGCCAACAGCCAGGTTTTGCTAGAGGACGAAATGTGCGGTCAGACAGGTGGCATCGGGGTAAAGAAGTAAAAGGCAGGGGAGCCTTTGGACGCCCCCTTCTGACTGTGAAGCCACGGTGGCTGGGCATGCGCGGGCCGGCAGAAGTTCTGTGTCTGTGCCGCAGGGAACCCCTCGCAGTCCACGTCGCTGCACTACATGAGCCCGTACCAGCTGAACGCCTACGCGCTGGCCCTGACCGCCGTGGGGGAGATCATCCAGCACTATGACAGCGACAAGATGTTCCCCGCCCTCGGCTTCGGGGCCAAGCTGCCCCCTGACGGCAGGGTGTCCCACGAGTTCCCGCTGGTAGGAGGTCCCCAGAGGAAGAGCTGAGGGCTGACCGAGCTGCGGGGGAGTGGTGACGAGCCTGGGGTGGGGGCACTTCCCATCTTCCCCGCCCAGGGACTTGAGTAGCCCGGGGGGTGGGGGCTGCCTGCCGTGTGTAAGGGGTCTTGTATCAGGGCCTCCAGAAACCCACTCCCCACCTTGCTCACCAAGAACTCCCATCTGCGCCTGAAGCTGCCCACCACCCCGCAGTGGGCCCTGGCCTCCTCTCCCTGACAAGACCCAGGAGGAGCGAGGAGCGGGAGCGGATACGTGGCTGCACTGCCTCCCAGTGCCCCAGAAATGAGGATGGGGGTGTGGGTTGGGTTCGGGCAGCTGCAGGTAACTCTAGGACTCCTGAGTGGATGCTGAGATGGGGCCCTGTGGGGATGTCTCCTCGGATCACGCCCTCCCTCCCTCCCTGCGGTGAGCTGGGGACACTGACTCAGTCACTGTTCACCCACAGCAAACATCCCTCACGGGCCTGGGAGGGCCAGGCACTGTGCTGGGCACAGCGTGCAACAGCATGGTCCAGCCCTGGCCCTCCCGAGCGCTCAGGCCCTGCAGTCATTTCCTGCCAGGGCTGGGTTGGGGGAGGGGCGCTGATCTGAGCAGCTGGGGAGTGGGGTGAGGAGTAGGTCTGGACCCTGCTCACCAGAGCAGGCACTGCCCTTCAGGGTGGGCCCCTCCCTGCCCCCCCACCAGAGAAGAGTGTAGGAGAGCACTGGTCTGCTGGCCTGTGCCACCTGGTCATGCCCCTACTGACCCCCAGCCACCCACCCACCTTCCTACCCCTCCCTCCTTCCTTCCCGGGCTCAACCTCCCCATCCTCTGCCCCCAGAACGGCAACCAGGAGAACCCCTCGTGCTGCGGCATCGAGGGCATCCTGGAGGCGTACCACCAGAGCCTGCGCACGGTGCAGCTCTACGGCCCCACCAACTTTGCCCCTGTGGTCACCCATGTGGCCAGGTGAGTGCTGGGCCACTAGCACCCCATCCCAACAGCTCACAAGACCTTTGCCTCCACACCTGTCCCCTCAGGAAGACGGGAGGGAATGTCTCTTCCCGTCAACTTGCCTTTCAGTGAACCCTGACCCTAAAGAGACCCCTTCCGACCAAAGAGCTGTCCCCACCAAAGTGTTAAGGGACCTTGGGGGGGGGGTGGGGGGGCGGGGAACAACATGCCCAGAGCCTCCTCCACTGATCTTGCCCCGGCCCCACCCCAGGAGTGCGGCCGAGGTACAGGATGGCTCCCAGTACTCGGTGCTACTCATCATCACCGACGGGGTCATCTCGGACATGGCGCAGACCAAGGAGGCTATCGTCAATGTGAGCTGCGTGGGGGCACCCGGGCCCAGGGGTGGGGGTGCCTTCCCACTCCTTTAGGGAAACCCTTGGGCCTGGCTTCTCCTCTCCCTGCCCTCTGCGAGACCACTCCTGGCTTCTGGCTGCAGCATCTGGAGGGCCTGGCCGTGGGGTTGAGGCGTCCATTGGTCCCACCAGTGGGCTCCCTAGCCACCTCTTCGTCATGCTGGGTGGTCCACTCCCTCCAGCCACCTCTGGCTCCCTCATTAACCAGCTCTCAGACCGCAGTTGGCCTGGCCAGGTAGAGAAGGTGGGAGGTCCAGGAACATGACTCCTCTGTGGAGTGGCCCCCCTGTATCGCGGCCCCAGCTGCAGATGGCCCTCCCTCCAGGCCCACACAAAAGGTGTCCCACATGACGGGGGCCCAAGAGTGGAGGAAGGGAAGGGGTGTCTGACAGAATCGGACCTGTGCCCCATTTCCCTCCGCTTCCCTCCCTCTGCCTGCTCTTTCTCTCTGGTGCCCAACCTCTGCACCCCGGGTCTGTATCCGTGGCCCTCTCTCCCTCTCCCCTGCTTTCTCTGTGTTTCCATCCTTCTCCCTTCCATTTCTTCCCTGTCTTCCTGACTTTCTCCTATGTTCCTCCCTCTGTCCCTGTCCATGAACTCCTCTTCCTCTACCTGGCCCCTCAACTGGGTCCCAAACACCCCCCTGCTGTCTCACAGGCCGCCAAACTGCCCATGTCCATCATCATCATCGGCGTGGGCCAGGCGGAGTTCGATGGTGAGTCCCTCCCCGCTCCCCTGGTGCTCCCCCAGAGGCTCAGACCCTGGGGCGTGGCCCTGCCCCGCAGCGTGAGCACTCACACCCGGCATGTGTGATTGTCTGGGTCCGCAGGCAGGGGTCACCGTGCGTTTGTTTGCACGAGGGTGTGTATGTCAGGGTGTGTGCCCCACGCCCACAACCCACGGTGGTGGAGAGGAGGCCTGAGTCACTGCTCCCTCCTCCAACCCTGTGAGTTTTGCAAGGGTGCAGCTAGAGGCTGGGCCAGAAGTCAGAGACTCAGCTGGGGGCTACTCCTGTCTCCTAGTTTCAGTTACCCCACCCCCAGCCCGGGGGTCTGGTCTGACAGTCTCTGCCTGGGACTGGGGGACAAGTGCCCTGTCCTGCCAGGGCCGTCAGCGCCCGCACTCCCATGCCTGCCCTCCCCACACAGCCATGGTGGAGCTGGACGGCGATGACGTGCGGATCTCCTCTCGGGGCAAGCTGGCCGAGCGGGACATCGTCCAGGTGAAGCTCAGCCCCAGCCTGCCCATCTACCCAGGCTGCCTCCACACCCCTGAGGGGGCTTTTCTGGAAAGGGCCCTGGAGAGAGACACTGGGAGTCCCAGAGTGGCCTGGCCACCGCAGAAGGGAACAGGAGTCTGTGCCCGGGTCACAGCTCTCTCTGGGCTGGACGCTCGCTCGCTCTCAGCCAGGTCTGAGCCTCACCCCAACATCACTGTTGCCCCACCCAGGCCTCCATGGCCCCCTGCAGAGGACAGACACCTTCCCAGTGAGATGGGCAACCCCTAGAAGGTGGAGGTCTTTGGTGTCACCACAGCCCCTCTCCAAGAACTGAACTGCTTGGTTAATTGAATCACTGTCTTAACATCTCCGGTAGGACGCAGACAGGTCTTGGCCCTCGGGGCATCGCTGTCCAGTCAAGCCTCAGAGGCACGTCAGCACCCCTCCAGGCATCTGCTGCAGACAGAGTCCTACTGTTTAGGGGTTTTGGAATTAAAAACTCATTCTCCATACCCCCTGGGTTTAAAAAAAATGGGGATGGGAAGGGGCCATTCCAGGTGTGGAGACCAGATAGGGGGCTGGAAACCAGAGCAAGGGCAATCTGGGAGGCGGGACCCCAGATGCAAAGGCCTGGAAGCAGGAGTGAGCCTGAGGCCCTGGTCTGGGGGGACACCCCTGGAAGGAAGCCAGTGGGGACTGACTGGAGGGAGAGGGGAAGCAGGGCCGAAGAGGCAGGAGGCTCTGCCCGAGGGGTGGGAGGCTTCCAGAGGGCCTGACCTCCAGGAGCCGGGGGATTCGTCCAGCATTTCCTAAGTGCCTGTAAGTGCTTGGTGCCAAGACCTCAGAGACTAAGGAATCTAAAGAATGATGTATCTGGCATGCAGTAGGCACTTAATAAGTATTTGAGTAAATGGAAGGATGGCAGCACAATGACAGTGCCTCAGAGAGTTCAGGGGCGGGGGATGGGGGTGCAGCGCAGTGGAGTGAGGTGCACGGAGGCTGGAGAGGAATGAGGCAGGATCCCAGGCCTGGGGATCTGGGGGCCAGGGGCCAACAGGAAACCTTGCCTTATCCTGCCTTTCCCACTGGCCAGTTTGTGCCCTTCAGAGACTACGTGGACCGCACGGGCAACCACGTACTGAGCATGGCACGCCTGGCCCGTGACGTGCTGGCTGAGATCCCGGACCAGCTGGTGTCCTACATGAAGGCGAAAGGCATCCGCCCACGCCCCCCACCGGAGGCCCCGGAGAGCTCGCCCTCGCAGTCCCCAGCCTGCACGCCCCCTGCCTCCCCCTTGCACACGCACATCTGAGCCTGGCCCATGGCAAGTGGCTGGGGCCGCAGGAGGCCAGAGGGTGTGCAGGGTCCCTAGACCCCACTACAGTCTGCCCAGCCCAGCCTTTGGAACCCGGTGTGCCTGGGAGGCTGACAGAGGGCGAGGCCTCTGGAGACTCCTTCCCAATTTCCTGGCCTCACTTATGGCCCAAACCCAGGGAGTTGGGGGGTACAGGTGGTAGAGGTAGGGTCCTGGGCCCTGTTCTTCTCTTCTTCCCCAACACTTGGTTCTAGCCCAGCCAGGACGGTGTCAACAATCAGGGCGACTGGGGCCTTCTTGGCCCACCTGGACAATCCCGTCTGCTCTGTATGGCCCTGCAGCCTGGGCTGGGCCTCCCTTCTGCAGGCGCCCTGAGCCCTGTGCCCGCCCCTGCTCCTGTGCTGTCTGCCCTTCTGCCTGGCCCCCGACCCCCACCCCAGTATCTGTCCTGTCCCTGTTTCCTGTGAACCCCGTGAGGCGGATGGGCTGGCAGGAGTGCCTGGACCTGTGACCCCTCCCAGGGACACATGCTTGTGGTGGAAACCCGCAGCCTCCTGAAAGGAGGCTGTGATGGTGGATCATAGGCCAGGTGATGGGCCAGGAATGGAGGCTTTTCAGGCGCAGAGTCTTCTCTGATGCCTCTGAAGCCCAGTATGATGGGTTCTAGACACACGATCCACAAGCCTCTGCCTGGCACGTGGGCCCACAAGCACCACAGCTGGCACCTGGTTCCGGGCACCTCACCTCCCACAAACGCTGCCCGGGGTCCTTGGTGTCCACTCCTCTGCTGCTCACCTAGGGGCCTGGGCAAGGACAGCCCAGCCCCAGCACTCCCACCCTGCCCCTTTGTCCCAGGGAGTAGGAGCTGGGTTCAAGTCCTGCCTGGGTTCAAGCCCCGCCTGCAGCCCCTGTCTGCCGTGGGAACCCAGGCAAGGACCTCTGCCTCCTGGGTCTTGGTTTCCACATCTGTGTGGCGAGAGGGTTGACCGGATGGTGCCCGGGTTACCTTACACTCTGATGCCCTGAGAGTCCATCTACACCATCCCCAGCTCCCCCATCCCCTCCTCACCGGTGCAACCTCTCACCCCAGGCCGTCTTGGCTCTAGGGTCACTTGTTCCATCTTGTCACCACCCCAGTCCTTCAGCCTTGGACTCAGGCGTCTGAGGCCGAGCCCCTGCCCCTACCCCTGCCCCTGCCATGGGAAAGGCGAGAAAGGTGATCTCACACCCCTGGGCCCGCCCAGCTGCCCAGCCTTTACCCATGTGGGAGCAGGCCGTGCATGCCAGTCCCTCTGCCGCATGGGGCCCCTCAGCCTGCTGAATGTCCCGTGCCGCCTGGCGGAGACCAGGCCCACCTGTCTGCTGCCCGGCACCTCTCCCTCCCTGTCATGCATGACGGTGGTGTGTCTGAGTTGTCTGGTCCTGTGCCTGTGTCTGAGATGGTCTCTGTGTGGAATCTGCCTTAAATTGAAGTAAATTTGGTTCTTTTATTAAAGTTCCTTGTTTTCCTTTCTCATGGGAAAATGAGCACAGAGGTTGCTATTTGACAGAGCCCGGGTTCTCTTCTCTTTCCCCATTCTCTTGTTCAACAAGGATTAACTGAGCAACTACTATGGGGCAGGCTCTGTGCTAGGCCCTGGGATGCACCAGTGAACCAAACACAGGCCCTGTCTCCACGTGGAGCTTACAACAAACATGGATAAGACAGGAAGATGCAGTAAGCATGTACACAAATAAGTAAATGACAATTTCAGGTGGTAATAAGAGGAGAGAAGTAATAGGGTGATATTCTAGAAGAGGTGGTCAGGGAGGGCCTCTCTGAGGAGGTGGCAGTGAGATGAGGGAATGGGAGAGGGAAGCAAGAGCTCCAAGTAAAGGGAACAGCAAGTGTACAGGCCCTGAGGTGGGAGCCTGTTTAGTGTGTTTGAAAGACAGCATGGAGGCTGGTGTGGTTAAGGAGCACATCAGGAGGGCACAGTGCAGGATACTGGGTGAGGGAGCTGAAGAATCCGGAATGCAGAGGGCCTCATAGGCTATGGTGAGGTCTTCGGCATGACTCGGAGTGAAGCGAGCAGCCCTTGAGGAGGTGAAAGAGTAACATGAGCAGATTATTCTCTAAAACAAGTGTGTTGCTGTTGCACTTGATCACTCATTCACTCACCTTCTGGTGAGTGTTTACTGAGCATTGGTGCCGGCACCCACTCAGGGCTGGAGACGCTGACTCACACGGCTGCATCCTCAGGCTGCTACCCTTGCTCTGGAGCAGCAGGCAGGGAAATCCTACAACCCTGGGGTCCCGAGGCCTGGCCAGGGGGAGGGCCAGGGTCTGTGGACACCAGAGGAAGACTCGAAAGCCACGTGCCCAGGATGAGTCACTGCTCCTCTGTGCGATGGCAGGGCTGTCATGCGGCCGAACAAGCGACGGGCAGATACTCGCACGCACGTGAGGCGTGTGTCGTGCTTGGGGCCTGTGGCGCCTTAGGTGCCCAACAAGCGCCGTGTCCACCTGGGCCCTCTTCCCACATAAATCCCTGTGGCCACCCGGGACCGGGACCCCAGGGACTTGCTCCTCTGGGCCAGTCTGCTCTCAGATTAGGCCTCTAGGAAGCCGTTCCCCATGGGCTCATCACAAGAAATTTGGTACTAATTCTACAAAGTTTGGGAGTTGTTTACTTCTTAGGATCGTACAGTAAATGAGCTGATTCATGGCTGTCCCTGTAATTAGCGCCCCTAGGACTTGCATTCCAGTACGCTTTGAGTGGGAACCGGGTGGGATCACAGCTCGGAAAGAGGGCAGTTCCCATAGCTAGCGGCCCGTTTTACCTCTCCTTGGGGGCCCATGGGAAATGCATCAGGAGATGCCCACCTGACAGGGGAATCGAGGCTCAGAGCCACTTGCCTCAGGTTGCCGAGAGCATCTTTACTGAGCTCATCACCACAGCTCCTCTCCTGGGCTCTTTCCCAAGGTGTGTTCCTCAGAGCACTGGCTCCCTGGCATGGATCTGGGGAAACTGCTCTGAGCACCTCTCAGAAAGTCCTAGGGCCTTTAGGGTAGTCAAGGCTCTGAAAAGTCTAGCAACAGAGAAACCAGTTTGAATTCAAGGCTCTGATAAGGCCTGAAAGAGAGAAACCGGTTTGACTTGGTTCAATCCAGGGTTGTTGTTTTTTTAAAGATTTATTTATTTTTAGAGAGAGGAGGAGGGAGGGAGAAAAAGAGGGCGAGGGAGAGAAACATCAATGTGTGGTTGCCTCTTACGTGCTCCCCACCAGGGACCTGGCCTGCAACCCAGGCATGTGCCCTGACTGGGAATCGAACTGGTGACCCTTTGGTTTGCAGGCTGGCACTCAATCCACTGAGCCACACCAGCCAAGGATCAACCCAGTGTTTTTGACCATGGAGTCGGGCGTGTGTGTGTGTGTGTGTGTGTGTGTGTGTGTGTGTTTGTGTTTAGCTGTAACACTATTACCAAGTAAACTGCGTTGTCTTGGGGATTTAAGTGGAGATAATCTCCCTGGTTCCCAGGTCAACAAACAAGCCTGAGGCCTGCTTCTAGGAGGCCAGAGGTGGGGCATAGAGATGGAGGACCCTTCATCTCCATGGAGAAATGGACCCTTCTAGTTTATCTGGAGAGAACAAAAGGCTGCAGAAGGGCCCCTTACCCCAGCCACGCCAGAAAGAGAAACCACAGAGAAGAAAAGAGGGTGTTCAGAAATTCACGGGCCCAGACTCGTGGCTCCATGGCTGGCTTTTTTTGTGTTTCTCATTGCACTGGGAAGCGTGTGTGACAGCGGCAGGAGGGCAGGCAGAGAAGGTAGAGACTGTTGGTTAGGGAAGGAATGGATGGTGGGGGACAGGTACCTGGGCCCAGGCCCACCACCAACAGCATGAGCCCACTGGCCAGCAGCCCCACCAGCAGGGTGAGGCCGAAGAGCTGGGCAAAGATGAGTCAGAGCAGTCACTGGGGTGTGGCTATGAGCCTGTGCGTGACAGTGGCATTGGGCTCTATTCTCCCCACACGCAAAGCAGCCTGTGGGCTGCCTCCTTCTTTCCCATGTCGAGCCCCGCTCTTCACAAACCCCTGGTACAGGAGGTGCCCTTGACCTGCATTAGCCCCTTCAGACCTCGCCACAACCTGGTGGGGCGGGCTCCGTTAACACCCTGGGTTCAAATCCCAACTCTGCCACTTGGTAGCTCCACTGTGCTGGGAAAGTTACCTAATGTTTATCTGTTTCTGCAACTGCAAAGAAGTGAGGAAATAAAATAAACTGATGTCAACAGCAACTGTCACTAAAGGGCGAGGTTCCGGTATTTTCATTTTTTCCTTTTTAATTTCTTTATCTCTTTTCTTAAAGACTTTGTTTATTTATTTTTAGAGAGAGGGAGGGAAGGAGAAAGAGAGAAACACCCTTGTGCCAGAGACACCCATCGGTTGACTCTCGTACATGCAACCCAGGCACGTGCCGTGACCGGGGATCAAACTGGTGGCCCTTTGCTTGGCGGCATGACGCCCGGTCAACTGAGCCACACTGGTCAGGCTCAATTTCTTTATTTCTAAAACTTTTTCATTGAGTGCAAATGGAACCTCATAAATAAATACCATAGATACAGATACAGATGTATGCTTTTTTTTTTTAGGAGTAAAACCTTGCCCTGACCATGAAACAGGCAGATTTGAACTTGAGGCCCAGGTGAGAAAGTGCACACACGAGGGCTGTGAGAAGATGCAAAGACCCTACCACTGGCTCCCAACTTTGTCTGCACATTGGAGTCACCTGAGGAGGTTCAGAAACACTAATGCACGGGTCCCACCCCAGAGACATGATTTAATCAGTCTGGGCTCTGGCAGGTGGCCCTAAAGCTGGGAATCACTGCTTTCTGAGGTTGTGGGGTCGGGGGGACTCTGCAGCCAAGCTGTCAGATCTTCCTCCTCACCCCCACTTTATCCCACGTGTTGATGACATGGGGTGCTCCCAGTTGAGAAGACTCAGCCTGGGAGATGGAATCCAGACCTCCAGGAGTCAGCCCCGGAGACCGGGCACAGGCGCCCTCCCACCGTTTCTGGGAGAGGCTTGCTCATTAACTCAGTAAATAAGTATTCCCTAGGCTTCTACCCTGAGCCAGGTCCCAGGGATCCAGCAACAAACAAGGCTGCCCAGTGGGGTCCTGATTCCAGTTCTCCTATACTGGGGACAGGGCTGGAGTCCCCTCTCTAGCTGGCTCAGAGGCCCACCTGAGGGCTCCTCCGAGCCCCTCTGCAGAGCCCGCCTGGGGAACCTGCTTGGTCTCTGGGGCCCCATGGCAACAACTTGCCCAAGGACGGCTGAGAAGAGGCCTGAGAGGGGCCTCAGACTCCTTCCAGGGAGGGAGGAAGTGAGAGACCGGCCCTGGTTCACTCCCTCTCATTCCCACCTTCTCTCTCTCTTTCTCTCTCTCTTTCTCTCTCTCCCCCTCTCTCAGCATTTGTCACTGGTTTTGCACTCCTTCCACCTGGCCCAGGCCCGCCTGCCAGAGGCATGACTAGAGAGGAGGGGAGGGAAAGGAGGGCTCAGAGGACCTGGGCCCTGCTCCCCCTACGCATCCATCCATACCTCCCCACAAGGTTAAGCTTCTGGGCACTAGAGCCTGGGGTCAAAACCCTGCTCTGCCCCTGGCTAGCTATGTGACTGAGGACAAGGTCTTCAATCCTCTATGCCTCGTTTCCTCATCTGTAAAATGGGAATAAGAACAGCCCCAATCTCAAAGGTTTGAGGCGATGATTAAATGAGGTAATACAGTAAAGTGCTCAGGACAGTGCCTAGCACATAGTAGGTACTTGGTAAATGGTGGCTGTTGCTCTGCTGCTGTCCCTCCTTGGTTCCAAAACGCTCTGTTCCCTAACACCCTGCACAGGCTTCATTGTCCCCCTACCCACCCCCTGTCACTGCACACCCCTCATGAGTCCCAGCAGTCCAGGCCCACCCTCCTTTTCTTATTCAGTCTCAAGCTAAGTTGTGGCCTGAGTCCCCTTGGCTGGCATGCCCTGAGAACTCACCACTTGCCTGGAAGTTCACTCTGATGTCTACCTCGAGTCCCTCCTGCTGCTCTCCTCGCTGCCCCCTGTTCCTCCAAGGTTCCTGGGGTCCACTTGCTGACTTGGAGCCCTGTGACCCTGGGAAAGGGGGCAGCCCCTCCACAGCTACACTCCACACAGAAGTTGGTCTGGCCACAGAAAGCCAAGGAGGGTTCTGGGCACGTGTGTGGTCCCTTCTCGCACCCTGCCTCTAGGGAACCTCAGGTAGCTGCTTGAGGCCATGGCAGAGCTGAGAGGGGAGAAGCAGCCCGGTGTCCACTTGTGTACTGGGTCCCCCAAGGACAGGGCTCTATCTCCTCTACTGGCTCCCCCAGGAATCACACCCTGCCTGCCTCATTGACTCACTGGCCCTCGGAGATGTC